CCACCTAGCTTAGCCCGGCCTTATAGCAAAGGACAACATATTCTGAGTCAGCTTCGAACGCTGATTCCAAATATGTTATTCCTAACTGTCTGCACCATTCCAAATCGAGTATGAGCTTTTTCCTGCGCAAATTGGCATATTCATCGATACGCAACACGCATCATCACTTACACTTGAATTAAACTTCTACTTAGTGAGAAAAGATGGTTTTTATGCTATTTCGATATCTCAGCACCTTTTTCTTGCAGATTTTCCTCTACAGGCAGTCTCTCCTCATTTAGTAGTATGCCATTTTTACGCAGGAAAAAGCCCATAATTCACTTTGGAATGGTGCGCGGCAGCTAAGAGTAGCATATTTGGAATCTGCTTTGAAGCTGATTCACAATATATGTATGTCCCTTGCCAAAAGGCCGAGCTTAGTTAGTAGCTTCCCTTGTAAGTTGTTACTACTCAAGGACTAATAAGCATGAGTCGTGATGCTTGAACCAGCCCTACGTAGCTTTCATCTTCCTCATTTTAACGAACGAGTTTGCAGAACTTTCATAAGACCGAATTTGAAGAAAAGCATTTTGCGAAGTCACATGCATTACAACTACCGCTATGCACTTGGGTGTTAACACCCTATTTTTCGTTGACAGAGAGTAAGTTCACATGGTCAAGGGTTAAAAAGACTTTTCACCTTTCTGGTATTGGGTGGGGGGATGATTTCCGTTACACTTTTTCTCTTTGATTCCTTGAAAATCCAAAAGCTCCTTGATCTTCAATTTGCTTCATATTGTAGGGCATGACGGCGCCTACGCAGCAGATTGATGCCGCAAATGCCCAAATAGCAAGCAAGTTCACGAGAGTTTGGTAAACACACTCAACATATTTAAGTGGATCAAAATTTTTCTTGATTTTTTATTTGCGTTCACGCACATTTTTCCTCCTATAACTTTTTAGGATGTATTCCAACACGGCTTTTTAAATATGGCACTCTAATGCCGTTAGCGTTTCAAAAACAAGAGTTGAGAACATATTAGAAATTCAGACTATTGTGTGCATCGCTTAGAATTTAGTGTGTGTGCAAATTTGAAATCGTTGAAGAAATTGCTCTCCAGGAGCAAATGTGAATGTGCGACTATCCTGTCCGACCACCACGTCGTCCGGCTGATCACATGGAAGAATGTCGGTTTATAAAAATGGACATAAAACGTACTTCCACCCATGCCGTCGGTGTTTCGCGCACGGACCGAGATGTAACAGTACCGATGGGTAGAGCTTTGCCCTCCGCCAACATGCTAAAAAAATGAGAATTTCCAAGAGCTTCTCAAACTTTGAGCAATGAAAACTATACTTAATAGAAATTATTCGCCAGTTTAAATAAGATGGCTCTTCCAGAAGTCTTCACTTTTTCGGAATCATAAAATACTCAAACGCTCCGAACATTGACAAATGTTCGAAATTCGAAACTTTCAAAAGCTGATTATGATTGTCCAATATTTTTACAAAGTAAATGAGCGTTTACCACTTCGAAATATAAGGTTTCGCATTCCACGTACATACCCTTAGGCGGGTTGAAAATCAAGAATTATGGAAATTTTATGGCCAAAAACCCCACAAATTGGGAAGAAAAACACTTTTGAGAAAGTGGAGAAAAAGCTGCATCGAATGACACCTTACTTGTGCGCCGTTTTATGGTCTGTGCTCTTGGCATCATTAAGAGAGAAATTTAATAGCATCAGAAAAATAATTCCAAAAATTTTTTGAGGCTAAATGGACGCAGAAAAAATGCATCACATTGTACTTTGTTTATATTTTTTGTTTTTTGTTTGTGCACTCTATCTGAATGCTATCAAACTTTTCCAAAAGTCAAAAAAGAATCCATGTTCGACTATCCATGAATCTTGGCATAGTTGCAATCTTCTCGTTAATTGCTTGAGCGTACTCCAAGATTGGTACAGAACTTTATCGCACAGAATAACAGACTAACGTTTCGGCGAACTCGCCTTCTTCAGAGTTTGAAAAAGTCGAAGACACATAAGTAAACTAGTAAGCCCAACCCTTTAAAGGGTTGGGCTCTTTTCTGTAGTCGATGAGGTGTTTGATCGGATAGTTTACTTATGTGTCTTCGACTTTTTCAAACTCTGAAGAAGGCGAGTTCGCCGAAACGTTAGTCTGTTATTCTGTGCGATAAAGTTCTGTACCAATCTTGGAGTACGCTCAAAAAAGAATACTGTGAAAAATTACTAAATTCGGGCATGGCAAAAACCATGGGTCCGAAATTTTGGCGATTATCTCAGTGACCATGAAGGTGACCAGCATAAGATCGTCACTGTTAAAAAGGGGAAAAAGCTGCGTCGGGCAGTGCCTGAAGCTTTTCCCTATCTTCGTTCCACGTGTTTTTATGATAGGTTGAAAAAAACGGAAAGAACTTTCGGAACGACCTAATATATACGAGGCAGTTGAAGGATTTTTTACACGGTGGGCTTGCGGCAAAAAGACCACTAATATATTGCAACAAATGAATGCGGTAGTTGTTTTTGGAGCTGAAATGGAACTCATTCAAGCGGGAATACAATACCACTCGTATTTTTTCGTCCACAACATATACGGGGTGTTTCAAGTGTATCTACGCACTGTTCGATCGCTAATCCTCTCACGAAGTCTTTTACCAACCTTTGGGTAACATCCTGTAGGGATGGCTCTAGTTTATAAATACAGCAAACGAATCAGCCATGTTTTCCTTGTTGTGTTATCACGGTAAACTTCCAGCAAAGCAGTTGCAAAATAAGACAAAAGAATTCTCCCCCCCCCCCCCCACCAGACAAATATCTAATTGTGTAGCAGAGTTTTTACGTATGCTGGTTTTGCTACGCACGAGTTTTCAAGTTTTTCAAATGTGCAATCACGTTTTTGAAAGACGATCAATAACATTTGTTACGGGGTATCTGTCATAAGTTGTAAAGAGAGCATTGAGTTGAGTGCAAATTCTATCTATAGTGAGTGTTTTCAGAAGTATAATGTAAGACTTTTGGCCCTTTGATTCCCTTTCCTGGGAGAACGGTTTTTGATGTCTCAAAACCCTCTTCGTTATTCCTCGGTGACTTTACAACAGCGAAAAGCAATCGATAAATCGCTCAATCGCTCCATACTGTAAGTCTAAGTTGATGTCAGCACACAGATCTACCTACTGTTGGGATCCCTGTATTCCAAATCCACAACTTTCAAGAAGTTTAGTCTTTTTCAGGGTTTGGAGAATCTTTTCACAACCGTCACAGGAATACGTTTTAGGTTTTGAGCCCCTTCAGGTCCCCACTAAACAGTATCTTCATCGTCAATTTTAACATAAAAAAGTGTCTTTTCTTGATACTTACATGAAACAGTTTATTGTTAGATGTCTTGGTCTCTCATAGGCAGTCCCATTGACATTAATTTTTTGAATAGTATTCAAAAATCGAGTGATATTTGAAAATCGAATATTCGCGAACCGAATAACATTCGAAATTCGAATATTGAATGATATTTGATATTCGAATATTATTCAATTTGGAAATGTCCATTCTCGAATAATATTCGATAGTCGAATATTCGAAATTTTCGATTTTCGAATAATATTCGATATTCAAATATTCGAAAATTTCCCTAACAAGGGAAGGATACTGAATAAGATCCGCCTTCTGAGATAAGACATATATATATTTGGAATCAGCTTTGAACGCTGATTCCAAATATGTTGTTCCTGGCTGCTTAGCTTTATTTCGAAGCCAGTTATGGGCCTGCCATTGTGAGTAATCAACAAATTTCTGAATGTCGTAAGACGGCGTATAAATATGAATCTGCTCGAAAAAAGTGCTAGGATGTTAAACTAGTATTAGATCAATTCTTTCAATCTTGAAAGGGAGCATTGTACAATTGCAAAACCACCTAGACGTCGACACCGTGGCATCCGTAGCCCGAGGAGCACGCAAACTTTGCATAGAAAAGTGACCATAACTCGCTTCAGAATAATGCTAAACAGCTAGGAATAGCATATTTAGAATCAGCGTTGTAAGCTGATTCCAATTCTATGTGTCTCATCTCAGTAGGCGAGTCTAAGTTAGTATCCTCCCCTTGTAAGTATAACATACAGACAATAACGGAAACAACTCTTAGCCCGTTATTACTGAGCTATAGATCATGCATAGGAAATCTCCGACATTTCTGAACTATCACGCGATTTCACGAATGCCGCAGATGTCATGACATTACAGCAAATTTTCACATTCTTTGGGAGGCGGTATAGTACAGAAGTTGATAAAGTGCAACATTTGATGACAGCATTCAGCAGAACTTTCGAAAACGCCATTTTCAGATAAAGTTGTGAAGACTCTGCGCTACCCGAAATCCAAACAAACTTCATCAAGGTGATTTTTCTCTGCATATTTCGAGATAGTTTATACGAACACCGCCCCACTTTTGGAACATCGCCACTCTTCATTGTTTTGCAATTAATGGAGACATTCCATAGCACCTTTGCGTCGCTTTGTTCCCATCAAAAACCAGTCGATTTATTCGAATTAACATTGTCAGGAGGTCGGCAAAACGTATAAATGAACGAGCGAACGTCATACGCTCTCCAACAAATTTAATTATCATCCATACTGACATAAAACTTAAACTCTAGATGTTCAGGTGTTTCGAACTTATCGCTACCTAAGAATTAAGCTTTATCTTAGGATAAAGAAATCATTACATCTTAACAGTGTACAGCTCCATTCGTGCCTAAGATCCTGATAGAAATTACCTTATTTGAAAGAACGAATTCCACAGCATCTCCAATTTCTTTTCAATCGCCCTTACTTTTTTTGCGTTCGAGCTAGCGTTGCACCATTCAAGGCCACACTTGCATGATTGGTATTACAGTCGCTTGACCACCCCTTACACTAGCTTTCGTTCTTTTTGTTGCCTTGCCGACGTTCGTCTCACATTTTTGCCGGTTTTGGATGCCATATCGATTGTGTAATCATTTTCCTTTTTGCAGAGTTATCAAACTCAAATTTCTAGCAGCTCATAATGATCGACACCCTCCCGTCTAATGTTAAATGTAAGTTTAACATGTGGGTGAGAGTTGTTTGCAATGCAGAAGTAGTTATGAAATTGTCCTTTGTCCTTAGCACTGCATAGACTTCCAATAACTAACTTTAGGTCTATTCCCCCAAGAAAATCTTGAGTTTGCAGAGAGCATCACTGAAGATGAATCAAAAGTTTTGAAAGAGGTGAGTTTACAATTTGAGTAACGAGGAGATGGATCAATTTATTAGGTTGAACCGAAAGTTTTGTCGTTTCATTTTCAAAAACTTGTAACTTTGCATTGTTTCAACGGATTTGCTTGCCTGTAATTTTATTAGAAAGAATAAGTCGGTTTGTTGTTTGGACGTCTCTGAGGGAAGCTATGGTTTTAGCGAAAACTGACAAATTAATTAATTTTGGCGTTTTCCATAGTAAACTCGATATTCATAACTTCTCACAGAGACGTCCAAACAGCGCAAACTCTTCACAGTTGCAAAAAGTGGGCCAAAAAACATATGTACTGACGATATCAGATTTTTCTGCAGCATTCCAGATTTTTGGTGACCTAACTTAAAATGGTCAAAGTTTACATGGTCTTAGTTTTCCATTTTTATCTCTGCACTCAGTGTGAAACAGAAGCTCCACAAAACAGCGACTGAAAGCAGAAGACCTCATCTTTCTGATAAAATTACAAGCAAGCGAATCCGTTGAAATCTCGCGAAGTTACAAATTTTTGAAAATGAAACGACAGAACTTTCGGTTCAACCTAATAGAAGTCTTAATAATATATTGTTTTCGAAATTGCTATTGTTTATCAATTAGGGCGCCATCTGTTATACCTGTCGTCGATTCATTTGTAATCCAATATGTGTATTGGGACACACGCTAACTATGACTTCTTCAATTGCATTTCTCAACTTCCAGGGATTTTTTCTTGTCCGTTTTATTTCTTTTAGCTTACTTGGATGAATATGTTAAAGCAGTATACAGTTCCACAATTCTCCGTTAGAAAACTTTTACTGACGAGTTACAAGTAAGAAACCGGGCGTTCACGCGATTTCAGTCGCCATGTGATCTGACAATTTGCCAGATGTCTTCACACCAATCAAAGACCACAAATACTAACCTATATTTTAGGAGATTGAAGAATATCTTTTCTTCCGTACATCATGCGCTCATAGTAGTTATGAACAATTGGACTGTTGCCAAATTTCGATGTGATCGAAATCGCGTGAAGTATGCGAAGGGCCTAAGGTGTCGTAGATTGCCGCGCGCAAAGTGTAGGATCGCATATCTTATTACAACAGACTATGCTTCTTGTGCATATGATAAGCTTATTCTCACCTATCCTTCTTTGATTACGAAAGCGCTAGCACATTTAGAGTAGAGCTGTAAAAACTCTTCCGATACCTTTGCCTATATAAAAAAACTCATTTGACTGTCTACTTCGCTTCGTTTCAAGAAGGCGAATAGTACAGCTATGTTACCAACTCTGTTACTGGTTCCAAACTCTGCGGTGTCAAATTCTCTTCCCTGTGTTCAGATATTATTAGGTCGTTCCGAAAGTAATGTCGCTTTTTTCAAACGTACGCCACATTTCGTGGAACAAAGATGTGTAAGAGATTTTGGTAGCATTTGATGCGGCATTTCATTCTCTTTCTAATGTTTGTACAACTACCGCACAAAATTGAATAACGTCTGGGAAAATTATCGGAATCTGCGACCCATGCTTTTTGAGAAGGTCAAGTTTCACAATTTTTCCAAATTTTTATAACAACCCCCGGAAGCAGTCCAAGTTATGTATGGATAGAGCAAACCCTACGGGAAACAGCACAACTTTTTTCTACTTTTCAGAGCTCGTCATAATTTCTGTATAGATTTTTTGATGGAACCACCGAATTTTAGCAGGCTCGTCTCAGACACAAATGCATCAAACACCAAGAAATCGTCCGATTTTGAAACTTACAAAAATGGATTATGGTTTTACACTAATTTTACAAAGCAAGTGAGCGTTTACCGCTTCAGATTAGCAACTTTCGAAAATTCCGGGTACAGCCGGAGGCGCCCTGGAAAATCTGAATTATGATGATTTTATCTCCGAAAACTTGATGAATCGGAGAGGAGGAAAAGCTGCGTCGAATGACACCCGAGTTGCTTGCCGGTTGTTGTTCTGTGAGGTTTGAGTTGACCAAATATGGAATTTGACGGCATTTTAAAACTGATTTCAGAAACTCTAAGAAGCAAGCTAACAAGGGAATGTTCAGAAATCGAAGTGGCCATTCCAGACAAGCTGGGTACCGTTAGATGCAGCATGAAGCGCTCACTCTAAATCTGTCTTCCTTACCTGCTTATCGCTTTTCTGGACGAAGCTATAAGCCATTAAAGACCATTATTTTGCTAAGAAATTATGCGTAAAATTGAAAATTTAGCCGTACAGAGCCACGTTCGCCTCAATGCTGGGCCAAAACATGCAGCTAGCTTACCTAAAATTTTTGAAGCTAGAAGCTGAGCTAAAAGTGCAACAATGTGCTCAATTTCGCTGTTTTTTATGTATGATTTTTTCACAATAAAACCATTTGTGGCTTCGTCCACAAAAGCGGGAAGCAGATAAGGAAGACAGATTCGAAGTCAGTGTTTTATACTGCATCGAATGGTATACAGCTTCTTTGGTTTGGCCACTTCGACTTCTGACCATTCCCTTGTAAGGAAAGAAAAAAATTACTTTGTGTCCTATAGGGTTTGCTCTATCTACCTGCCGCTTGTACTTCTTCGGAGAATAGGTACAAAAATTTTAAAAAGTTGCCGAACTTGACCATATCAAAAAGCACGAGTTGCAGATTTTGTTAATTTTTCGAAAGCTCAATGAAAATTATGCAATGAAATTACAACCATTAGAAAGAGGATAAAATGCTGCATCGAATGCCCCTAAGATCTCTTGAAAATCTTGATTCCATGAAATGTGGCGTTCATTTGAAAAAAGCGACATTACTTTCGGAACGACCTAATATTATAAGTTGAGAGGAGGCCGCCTATTCCATTGTGCCTTTCCTTCATTTTCTCTGAGATTGTAGCATGGAGAAAAGAGAAGGATCGTGGTCTAACATGGTTTAAACTTTACAAAGTTGCCGCAATTCAATCTATTCCGTAAAAGTTGCTACAAAATTTTGATTTGAAGCTTGTTCGTAGCCTTTGTCCCTTGAACGATTACAGAAATCGAGGGATACAAAACTTGTCGACACTCCAGATATCTTTAGTGAATACATTCATGGAAAAGTAGCTTGTAAGCTATTCATATATTTAGAAAAAGATCCTTGAGAACTCAGTTTTTATTTTTATCCAACACACGTGAACTTGGTCAGAAAAAGGAAACATTGCTAGTGTAGAATAGGCTAGGCTGTCTTATTCAGTCAAATAGTAGAGGCGGACATTTAACACCGCACTGCAGCTGCAAATGTTGAGAAAGAAAAATTCCTATTTAACCATGAAAGGTGTGGTATTGGAATTGAGGAGTGCCATTGCCGCTTTTCTGAGCTGTCTAAAGACGCCGGCTATGCCAGGTATCCACCAATCTGACATCACCGACATTGGGTACACCTGCCTTATTTTGAGGATGTCATGCGCTTTTTGAACGCAACTGTCTCCGGTTACTAGGAGTAGCACTATTGTTTAACGGAATGGGTGACAAATCCGCCATGATTGATTAGTGACATGTTAGAAGTCCAATAATACAAAATATTCCTAAAACGAAATAATAGCGAAGAGTTTCAAGAAAGAATTTACAAGAAAGCGAAGTCAGAAATACACGTTATTGACCAGTAGGGGCTCAGCAGAATAGACCAAAGGCGGACCCGTAATGAAAACAGACCAGAAGCAAATAAAGCGGGAGGCTTCTTACCTGCCAGCACCCAAAACTTCCTCGAATTTTATACCTAAATCATCAGTACGACAGAATCTAAATAGCAAATGCTTTGCCAATTCCACATGGCATTCGATGCTATGAAAATGGAATTGAAGCTTTTTACTTTAAGGTATTTCAAAAACATGCCTGCTTTGAAGAAGTGGGTGAGATGATCGCAGAAGTGGATAAGAGAGATCACGCATTAGCCGACAGAATGCGAAAAGTACTTGCTGCGAACTGTTCCCGACTCGAAGGACTGAGCCCCAATGCTGTTGAGTTCAGCAAGAAGGTTGGTTTGGCTTTCGTTCATTAGCTACGCTATTTTCAGTAAATCAAACACTTTCTGGAGCTAATGGTGAGGAGAGAGTGGTTGTGATTGAACTTTTAGAGAGCAGCATGTTTTTGCAAGATCTTACTGTACCCCATGAGCAGACCGTTAGCACCAGGCAATGTACTCTCTTCTGATGGTATTTTCTAAGGGAGAAAAGTATACTTTTGCAATTATGAATACCATAACTTCTAATACGGGCTGAGGGTTGTTTATGTTAGTGTGTGCGTTGTCTGTCATAAATTTCATAGAGCAAGTTCCAGCCAAATTCTTAACTTAGAATTTTGAACACATTACCTTATCAGCATGTTGGTCCACTGTGCAAAGGCTCAAGCGGATTCGATGAGCGCTATTTCTGAAAACTGTGCGCTAAATAAATTCGTACCGCGCTCACAAGGTCGGGTCTTTATTTAACTTTTCGCAAGATTATGGATTTGCTGAGCATTTGCTCTCAAGTCATTGAATACAGCATAGAAAATGTTGGTCGATTTGTGAAGGTTTACGCGCGAATTCAAAAAATTCTTGCTTTGAGATATAAATCACGGCAATCTTGTCGCATTGCAACTATAAAGCCATAACATAGCCAAATTGAATCCTCAGTTACTCTCTGGCACAATTCCCTCCCACAATGTTACGATCTTAAGTGGCAAAGCAACTGATAAAGCTATTTTGACCGGTGCGCACCTCTGCGAAGCAGGGGTGCGCACTGTCCATGATAATATTGCCAGCTCTAGTTCTGTTACGTTCTGTGAAGTTAAGATTTTCAAATATCTCTATTTTTCAACTACTCCACTACGCGGTTTCTATCCAAGGATAAAGATAGAGGGAAAGATGAGAGGGGAAGGGAAGGGAATATGTGGTCTACCGCAATCCACTTTGTACAATTCGCCTCAACAATCTATCCAATAAAGTACTGTTAGCCCTATCCGCTCTCTTTTACTCTCTTTTTGCGCAGTGAAACGAATCGCCATTTCATTTTGAACGCAATATGAATTTAAAACCTCAAGTTTCTCATAGGTTGAATTATCATGCACCACAACTATCATAAATATAAAGGTTCTTGTTCTCAATGCCGGACCCCGCCCGATCTAATTCGATTAGTGCCAATCACAGTCGAATCCAACATAAACTTAGAGTAATGGGACAAGTTATGAAGTAGTTGACTGCCAGCTGCGCATCTGAATGAAAAACGTCAAGGTCTGCTTCGATATAAAACGAAACGAACGTTCTTGAACTGAGTTATTGTGCCATTACTCTAAATTATTGCAAGGACAAAGTGTGTCCATGAAAGATTTGCAAACGAGCCGTCATAAACCTTGGAAAGTTCAACTAACTCGAATATCTTCGATGGCATCGAAAAGTAATGTGCATCGGTTTCAGGCTGTAAGTTTCGTCACACATGTAATGTGTTCGATGACGCTAGGCAAGCAGGCATGCCTTGAGAAAGCTGACGAAATTCACGAAGAATTCCAGGTAGAGGCATTCAGTTGATTTCTTTGAGAATACAAGAATCTCGAAAAATCTCTATGCTCTAGCCCAAACTCTGTAAAAAAGCTATTTGATTTGATAAAATCAAAGCTTTTATAACTTCTCCTTTCAGGGTAGTCACTCTCATCATGTGTAACTTTTCACTCTATATAGTGTTCCAGAAAACGTCCCTGATGTTTAATCCAAAGTTCCTCTTTGACCTTGTGCGCCGAGATTGTCGACATTGTACTAACTCTCTATGATGTCCATATCATTTTGCCTGTATCTCACTTAAGTACTGTGAAGGGCATATCGTGCTATGATATAAGTCTGTGCCTAGATGCCTAGTAGGTTACATGGGTGAGTGACTTTTCATACGATGAGCAATTCCAGGGCGCGTGATGTGAACATCTACGGCCAGGGGCGGTATTTATCAATCTCCTGTGTAGAAAGGGGTTCCCCTACAGGTAACAGCCCGTACAGCGCGAGCACTGGCGCCCGCGATATATGAAGCCAAGCTGGCTGGGCTCCTATCTATTGAAGAATATGGCCTGATCTAGCAAGTTTTACCATGTCGGGCACGGCAGTCGGGCAGCAGTTTTTCCCCATCTCCATGAGTCGCGCGGTGCTGCCCGTTTGGGCCGCGCTCCCCAGACTTTCATAAATCGCGGGAAGGGGGCTCTCCCGTGCGGGCTCTCGTTGACAATGGCCCGCACGGCGAGTGAGAGATTGATAAATACCGCCCCAGGTGTAAAGTGTCGCACGTGCGCATATTGTATACTGTGGCAAGGGGGAAGAGGGACTTTTCATACGATTGCTCCCATATATCTTAAACTTTTGGCAATTCAATATTGATACTATACCAGATATGAGGCTGCTGGCTCCATACCAAAAAATACGAATCACCTAGAACAACATTTGCAGTATCGCGAAATCAGGAAAGAAAATTTGAAGGCTGTATGAATTGAAAAGCATTTTGCTCATTAAAGAACAACACCATAATACAAAAATAGCAGCCAGAAGTGCTAGATGAAATGACTGGAGCTAAAATTGTGAATCGTCTGTGCCAAAAAATAAACCACACATAAACGATCTTACATCGCGTGATGATTTCACGTTTCTCTTTTCCATTCAAGTCATCTGCAATTCTCTCGAAAAGACATCCCTTTTCCATAAAAGTATGGCTATTTTGCGTCAGAACATTCTGCATTTTTGTAGAATTTTCTTCGGATATAAATCTGGTACATTGCTTAGTTCGGTAAATCATCCAAAATTTTCAACTTATTGCACTTCATTGCCTTTGCTTCAGCTTCATTGACACAATTCTAGAATAGAAATAATTTGTTCTTTATCGAATTCCTTATTTAGAGACCTGGAAGGAAAGATAGAAGCATCTAAAATTTTGCTTAAAAGAAGGTTCAAAAATGTGATTGTTTTAATTGTATGTTTTACGAGTATTTCTCTAGTACATTTTTGATTGAAAAACATTTTTGTGGCCGTTGTAATCGACAACTGATGGTGATATTAGCATGCTGGCATACCGCCAAAGGTCAAGATGATCAGAGAGCTCTGTATAAAAAGTCCTCCCCCCCCCCTTCTCCTAGCCATGTTGGAGAATCTGACTCATTACATGGGACGAGAGGTGCGAAGTAGGTGTGAAGTAGGTGCGAAGGCTAGGTGCTAAGTCCCCGATCGTATGAAAAGTCTCCCTCCCAAGTTACATAGCCCTGCCTATCAAAGTAGCATTCCTCCACAAGACCAACGTGTGCAGGACTTCTGTCTCAATAAAGCTTTTGTGCTTTCGTGTTCTATACAGGGTGTCCCAGTATGTATGCACTGTTTGATCGTTAATATCTCTCTTCCCAAGAAGTCTTTCACTTTGCTTTAGGTACCATTTTGTAGAGCTGGCTTCAACTTAGATTTGCATTATAGAACGAATCACCCATCTTTCTTCATTACTGTAGGATTGCGGTAGAAACTTCAAAGAAGGTTTTGAGCCATAAAAGGCCATATTTTGCCTCAGAAAAGAAATAAAACAGCTTGAAAACTTTTACACTAGGCTAATTAGAGTTGCTAATTTTAACTGTAAAGTTCCCAACTTATTACGATGCTTCACTGAAGAGTTATGCTAGGTAAGAGGTAACGGCCATTTTTTCAATGGTCCTAAAAAGTGCGGTTACACCGTTTAGAAAGCTTCGCAATCTTATGAATAGTTGAGTATTGAACTCAGCGTTCATAAAAACCCTATTACACAAGTTTTCACATTTTTTTGAAAAATTTTGAAATGGCAGCTTTTTTGACACCATATGTTTCAAGTTCCTACCGTAATCCCACAGTAATGCAGAGCGGTCGGTGATTCTCTCCATACTGTAAGTCTAAGTTGAAGCCAGCTCTACAAAATGGTATCTAAAGCAAGGCGAAAATCGAGCAGTGCATACATACTTTTGGGACACCCCGTAATAACACACTTCAAGACGCACTATTTCGCCTCAGGCTACTATAAAGCTTACGAATTACATACATTGGTGGTTCGGAGGCTTGTAGCCTAAGGCTAAATAGCGCTTTTTGGAGTGTATTACGTAAGCGGAAGCATTATTTTATTGAATCAGACGACTTGCACGTTTTAGTGCAGCGATAGAAATGCTAACCATGATAGGCGTGGCAATTAATGATAGCGAGCATCTGGTCAATAAATATACCTTATGTCACAACAGGACATGCTCAAAGCACGACCTTTACGGTACTTCTAAAGCGATAATCTGCAACAGAGAAGGTGCCGATATTATCGGCACATCCTGATGTCTTTCACGAATCTTCAGATGCCATTCTGTAGACCTAACTTCAACCCACAGGGAAAGAAGCTTAGCCGAAGTAGCCTTTTAAGATGAGATGTAAACTGCCTCTCAAAGGGCTTAGAGTGGTTTTAAATCTGCCCTCGCTACCTGGTGCGGGCCTCTTAGCGATGAGTTGTGGGGGGTTTTGGGATCGGTCGTACCTGCCGCCGCGATCTCTAATTGCTACGATTGTTCATGATCTTCCGTATAGGAAGTTTTATCGGAACGTCCGCGGCCCAAGACAAAACACTCGGGCGAGCCACGGACCTTACGGGACCCCCTCCATATATGGTTATCGGCAAGCCGCTGTCCTCTAGGTCACGACCCGGTAGAACCATTTTGGCGAGCCCCGGGCCCTGCTGAACGCCACAATTCTTAAACGCTGGAAGCAGAAACGTTGCTCGCGTGAAATACGCTGCGGTGGTTGAGGTACCTTAAACGCTTTGGTCTTTGGTTATATAAGTTCAGCTTATGATGACTAGCAACGGAGTCGGTCCTCTATAAGGCCCTCGGCCAAATTATGATAAGATCGTGACCTCTGTGCGAGGGCGAGAAGAATGAGAACACGAGTTCATAGATTTCTATAAAAATATTCTCGCGTTTAGCTGTTGCGTATGTGGCTACCCGCGGACGCATATCGCGCATTTATCGTTTGATTGCCGGGACGTCCGCGGGTTTCGTTTGGGCACTTATCGGCGCATCCGCGGGTAGATTTCGGGAGCTTGGCGTGCGTTTATTCTACCACCCGCGGCATGGATGAAACGTGGGACGGCGCCCTTCTGCGGGTGCTCGCAATAATTGTCTGAGTAAGCGCATGCTCTATAAGCAAGATTTGGCATGTGCACATAAAATTACAAAAGTCATGCGCTTACGCACTTGAATTGCACATGCGGTAGATTTGCGAACATTTGTCGAATTGCCAAACCTCGTATCAATTCTTGGGGGAAATCGCGCTTTCGGAACCTTTAGTCGAGGCCTTTAGGAGCCGAACAAGCCGTAGCACACAAATACGATCGAGAGGTGCGTTGCAACTGTGCCCAGCGGTGTAATGGTTAGTGTGACAGTCTCTGAAGCGGATACTCCCATGTCCGAGTCCCCCATTATGATTCATTTGTGTTCTTGCAATAAGTTTGTGCAAATGCGCGCTTCGTCTGTACGCAATTCTTTGCTTCATTTAGTGCAATCTTTTCGGAAGAGAGTTTTTGAGTACAAATTCTTTTAAATGTTTCTTTGAAAAAAAGCAGTTGGAACTTTATTGTTGCTGAAACTGCATTCTAACTTATAACTAAACAGCTTTTGGACTCACCAAAAGTATTAATGAAACCATAACTCTTGCTTGGATCTGCGAAATCGCTAGTAAATCATACTAAAAGTACGACGAACGAAGTATAAGTTTGCGTACAGGCGAAACTCGCGTTTGCACAAATTTATTGCAAAAAGCCAGAACGAAAAGCAGAACAAGGCGCAAGTGGGAGTACTTGCTTCAGAGACAGTCTCACTGACCATTACACCTACTGCACACGCCATTCCGAGTTGCTCTCGATTGTATCTGTGCCATGCTCCGGCTCCTAAAAACCTTTATAACTCCTCGCCCGGAAGCCCGCAGCAGATAGCGAAGGCAGATTGGAGTTGGCGTTCCAAGTTCTTCGAGGTTGTACAGTCTTTTTACCCGAAGTAGGCGAAACGTTCCAAATGGAGCAGCGCGTCCGCGCAGCCACTGGCACAGCGAGATAAATTAGAATGAACAGACGCGCAGGCAGCAAAGCGGCGCGAATCGTTGCGAAGCGGAATCCCATCAGTCCAATATCCGCCTAGACTGAGTTGAATTACAAGGAAACCGTGTCGAGTCGAAGTGGCCTTTCCAGATGAAACCCATACCGCTTTGAAGGGTATTAGGCGGTGATTCCAAATCTGCCTTCCAAATCTGCCAAGCGCCTCTGGACGCCGAGTTATGACCGTTCTTCGGAACGAAAAATGAATGCAGAATAGGTAAAATTGATTGTTCTTTCGTTTTCCAGCGATCTTTCCAGCGCTCAGATAAAGCAATGTTAAGTATTAGCATATTAAATAAAATGTATCCATTGCATAAACAGCTTTGATACTTGACACTGGACCGTTTGAGCAAATTTCGGCGATTTTGCTTCAGTTTTGCGTTCAATTTTTTGACCTGAAAAACGAGCATAACTTGGCGTCCAGAGGCGCTTGGCAGATTTGGAAAGCAGATTTGGAACACCGATAAATGCTCTTTAGAGCAGTATGGATCTCATCTGGAAAGGCCACTTCGACTCGACACGGTTCCCTTGTTAGTATACAATACCGCTCACATTTTTTGAATAAAAAGACGGGAATGTCGCATCATGTATGAATATCACCGTCGCGTAGCCATATCTCGCTTCAGAGTGAACGAATTCTGCATCTAAAGCCACCATTCGACTCAGCTCGGTGCGGCGCCTCTTCTAATGTATAGAAGTGCCTGCTTGGACACAGTAGGAGGCCTAGGTTACCCAGTGTGTTTATTCATTGCACTCAACCTACCAAGCAATCTGGAATGATTCGTGGAATCAGACCTCCTACTGTGTCCGGCTTTAGATGCAGAATTCGTCCACTCTGAAGCGAGATATGGCCACGCGACGGTTACGTTCATACATGATGCGACGTTCGCGTCTTTTTTTCAAAAAATGTGAGCAGTATTGTATACATCCCGTCTCAAAAGTTGACTTTGACTAAACTTGGTTCACGTCAGATTTACGATAGGTATGCGATTCCCTTATCTCGTGGCACGGTAATTTACCGTATCGCGTTACTTCAAAATTGGCGATCCCTTAGAGAATTCATTGCTGAAAAGTGATTGAATGAGCAACAATTTATGACAGAATAAGCTTTACTGGAAAGGAAACCGCCGTAGCGGAAAAATTGGGGTTCTTTTTGGTGAAAACATGTAAATGCATCCTTCTCTGTATTGTGAGATCCTTGTTTATGTTTCTTTTTTTCAGAAACTTCCTGCAGCCGATCAAGAAGCGTTGAAGAAAGCTCATCCGGATGTTAAATTCTAAGCAATGAGATTCATTTCTTGCGTTTATTTTATTCCCTATGCCTACTATCTTAAACAGTTGGCACCGCCTAGTTTTTGCTCTCAAACATATTGACATCTGATGGTACTCAAACTTTCCTCAATAAATTTTGATAAAATGTTTTATTGGAATTCCGAAAATATACAGCTCACAGAGAGAAGTGGTATCGCTGGAAAATGTGCAAATATACAGTTTATAAATGTTATGGACAGATATCCAAAGATAAGTACAGTTTGTTGATCTAGACTCCTGGCGCGTCGTTGATTGTGACGGTATGGATCTGAAAAATTACAGTAGTCTTCAGGATGCCCTATTTGCTTGTTAATTCAAGCGAACCTCAACATCTCCATCGATCTCCAAAGTCTTAAGATCAGTTGGGGATCCACGATGAGCAAAGGTGGCAAATCGTTTGCCATTAAAGAAGATTTGGAATGAGTACTCTTCGTTGATGATTGTGACGTCGAAGCTAAAAATGAAGATTTTTGAAGATAAGGTTGAAAAAAAGGTGGGGGAGGAGGGGGGGGGGTATTCGAAGATCAAAGTCCAAAATTTCTTACACTTCTCCCTTGTTGATTGGCATGGCACCTTCACGCTCTTCTTTGCCCCATACATTGTTGTTCATTGCATTACGAACGATGGCACCCTCGTTGAAGCGGATGGAAACCTACAAAAAATTGAAAGTAATCAATATCTAATCTAACAACAGTCAAAAAAAGAGTAAAATGTTTTACGTTTCAATTTCAGTACATTTTGCGCCAAGAATACTGTCATTTTAGTGAGATATGCCAAGATGTATTAAAGCAATTCTTAATTCGAAATGCCTTACTTTACGGTGGCGAAAGAATATCCAGCTTCATATTTGGAACTTTTACCACCAAATATGGCGCAAAAGACGATTTCATCTAAGGCTACTCCTTTAACCAATTTTTGATAGACTACGTAGCATGAATCGAAGAAAAATTATACTGGAGGGAATCGTACCATTTTTACGATATAACTAGATAATCCAGAAAGTAGTGCTTTGCTTTTCGATACATTCAAGTTCCAATTTTGCGTACTATTCGTTACAAAGCTTTTTGGAAATGTTTATCAAGACATTTGCTTGACCTGTATTTTTTATTTTTCACAACAGTCTTTCGGAATACCTGCCACATAATTTTTGAGATCTAGAAAAATCCAAAAAGGTGTATATCCTGCGTTGTGTAATTCGCTATCCGACTCATGTCTGACCGATAACGCGTGGTGTTCGATTACACCACTCCAACATATGTGATTTTGTGAACGCTGTGTTACAATGATGTTTGATGACGTAGTAAATTTTGTGTAATTGCACCAAATCCGAATATATGTTTTGGTGAATTTCTACTCAAAGTAACCTTCAGGACGGAGAAATAAGGCTACGTTCAGAATTATGTGATGCATGTTGTGCAATTACACAACATCTTTATTGTGTTATGTGAGGTGGCACTAAACTCGCTACCTAAGGTCGTTGTTAATATGTAAGCACAGCATTTTATTGTGATATGAACGGGCCTTACCTGGAGTGCGTATTCCTTGTTTTCTCTGTAGAGATTGATGTTGACACGTTTTCCTGGAAAAAGCCATTACCATAATTTTTTTTTCAAATCAACATGATGTTCGTAATCAGAACCCGTCACGAGTTGATTCCTGATTTCGAAAAATTCCTTTGAAACATCAAAATACGAGCTATTGTAAGCGCAGGCCTAGCTTTCGATCGATATATCGATTTTATGAGCCGCGTTGCCTCTTTATGTTCATCATGAAGCAAAAAAATGCTCGTCTTCACTAAACAAACAACAATGCGAATTTCGCTGTCCTTTACGCATTAGAAGTTTTCGTTTGCTTACAAATTAGATTTTCTCCGAATTATGACCGATATTGTTTGGCTTTGCGTTCCCTCCCCCCCCCCATAACTGCCGCACCTTAAAGGCAGCCGGGCACTTTCGGACATTTCGGATACTATCATAACCGAGTATTACGGCCTCGATCTGGAAATATCGCGCAAATCCGACTTTCGAATACCCCTGCAAAAGAAAAGGCGGAGCCTCGAGGACACGCCCACTCCCTCGCACCGCCCGCCCCCTTAAATGAACTCTCCCCAGAAACTTGACATGTTTTCACGTGACAAACACAATCGAACAGAGAATGTCTACGGTTCTCTAAAGATTTCACGCATTTTGAGCGCTACATTTGGAATCTGCGCCAAGTCGAAATTCTGCCTGGACGCTGCACCCTGTAAATCCACCATGTTACTCACCGGTAGGCAGAGCAGAGATATCAAGTCGCTTTCCAGGCTTGAGCTCAGCAACTGCCATGTAGGGGTTAGGGAAGATTCGTCCACCATAGTGGAAGAGGCGGAGCTTCGTCAAATCTCCGCGAATGGAGACATGGTCGATCTTTAAAGGAAGTTTGAATTCAAAAGATTTCAGGAACATGCGTCTACCAAACTTACTCCATCAAGGGGTTGTCTTTGCTCGAATGTTCCAACTTCAACGCGGTTGGCGAAGACCTGAAAGAAGATCATCATCTTTTGACTCTTGGCATTTTTTGCGTAACGGTCTGGGACGAACCTGGAATTTGCCTTCGAGAATTCTAACCCTGAGATCGAATTCTTGGCCAGCTTTGAAGGGGTTAGAAATACGTTGTTCACGTTCGGACCAGTTGCCATCCTTGAAGGTGTTATATACGAACTTTCCGGAGAAAATTCCTAAAAAATCAAATTTCGCGCAGGTCTGAGAACTGCTGTCCTTACCCTCATCGAATCGGATGGAGAAATGCAGTGGAAGGTCAGCATCCTTTGAAGGTCCCTTGTGGAAGTTGAAGTCGATTCTAAATATGCTTGTTTTTCGTTGTTTTCCAGTAAAGACTAGTTCTTCTTTGGCATAAAGCCAGCTTATTAGTTCTTCGTTACCTCGTCGGCTTCTCGGCTAGCGTTCCTACAGCGTGGATGGTTTGACCGACGACGAAAGGCTCACTTACTCGCGTTTTGAATGGGAGTTTCTAGAAATTCTCCAAATGGATATGGATATTCTTCCAATTTTTCATAAAGAATTGAAAATAAAACCCGTAACACCACAACCCATTTTTACTTGTTTATTATTTGTTTGTCAAATTTCCACTTACGAAATCCTGTTCTGCGATGTATTTTCGGTAATTCTTTTCTTTTGGCGCCGTTGGATCGCCCCCATCGTTCTTCGTCTGCTCGGCGAAAGCGTAGGCAACAAACAACAGTATCAACCCTAAACGCATGATTTTTCCAACAGAACTGGCTTCAAGGTAAGTTTGTCGGAATAGTGCTCACACTTCATGCTGGCGAGATTTGGAGGAACCTGAAATGAAATCATCAATCGTGAGGGTTTCTTGATTTTTAGCAAAAAAAGAGCGGATACGAATTTACCATGGGCTGGCCAGTAAAACAAGTATTATACTATCGTATGCATTTTGGAAAATGAAGATATATAAGGAAAGCTGTATAGGGATAGGGCTTGCCAATGAATACTTTTGACAGATTCTTCACCCCTTGCCGAAAAACAGATAAGAAATTTTTGATTGGTCCCTATGTGTATAGGTGCGGGTGGGAACCTAATGACGACAAACACTTACGCGGTGCTCTGTCTGTTTCTACTCAATAATTAAGTTCAAATTTTTCTCATTGAAAATTTTTCAAAGATTTCGGAGCCAAACTTTCTCAACCCCATAATCTGGTACTCCCTGAACTGGTGTCGAATCTGAGCACAAAAATTAGATAGAAAGTACCGAGATTCGATTTCCGACAGAGATAGAAAATTGTTCTGAACTGGAGTTTTCAATCTTGTCCTCTTAACGGGAATCTTGAACGGTATGGGTACGGTAAAGTGGTAACTCATAGTCGGGAAAGGATAGTCTACAAGCTCAAGAAGTGGATTCGCGTGAATCTACTGTTTGATCTCGTGGGCTGCCTGAAAAATTATCTGAATATTTCTGAGATTTGGATAAGCGAAATGAGCAAGTGATGCAAGGAAAGAGTGCTCTGGATCTCTACGTGCCTTGTTTTTTATGTTCAGTTATACCCAGACACTTTCAATCACTTTGCACTCAATGAGTTTTTAGGCTAAGCAGTGTAAGTTGGGATAAACATCAACACCTGACACTACTAAAAGAAAAACATGAACTTTCGAGATAGCCGATACTCCCAGTACTTACAGAAGTAGAAAAGTCAGATTACCGGTCAGGGAATTTTCACGCTTTCTGGTGTTTTTCTGTGGTTTTCTACTCAAAAAATGTTTAGCGTGATCAGATGGTTTGTTTGCAAAACTTTATCAAAAAGCACAAACTCTCCTCTTCCCCCTTCCTAAAAAATTTTCCAAAGCGGATAAAAGGAGAAAGAAATCTGGAGAATGAGCAGCACGGCATTGCAGCTCGGAACAGATGTGGTGTTTGGTAGAGAAGTAGATGGGGTGTACAGCTTGCCGAGCAGCAGGCGTGTGCGACTTGAGATTTATGGAACCTTAAAGAGTCGATTAATCAGCGAGTTTATCCACCCCTATCAACATCAGCAACTGCACATCCATAGCTATACACCACTGCCAAGCAGTATACCCACACACATCCCGAAGAAAAAAATTTCATACAAAATCTCCGCACGTGAACGGTCTGAGCAGAGTAAAATGGATGATAGACAGATCCCCATTTGTTTCGAGGATTTCTTGCTATAAGTAAAGGACACAAACCAGTGAGCTATGAAGTAGTACCGAACGTCTCCTAAGTTATGCTTAGTTGTTAAACAACCTACTTTCTCTAAGGTGAGTTCCTGATCGGATATGTCGGGAGACGGTCAAGAGGCGCGATTTCTCTGGGTGTCACCAACTCAAAACTCAAGTTTAGGGCTACGCAAGTTTTCAAAAAGCACCAGACAAAGTATATTAGTTTACTAGTCATCTAAAGTTACTACTTGCTGAGTTTGAAGGCTTTTGCTGGAAATCCGACCAAAATAAATACAAATTTGTTATAATTTGCATTTTCATGACCTCCAAAATTTTCATTTTGAATCGCTTTTGAAATAGTAAGACTGGGAAACTCGTGCAACCATCTAATATATCTCACCTAAAATCTAAAATACTCCCAGAACCTTGTAAAACATTGAATATGTGCTAGTTGCTGTCCAGCTGGCAATAAAAATCGCGCCTCTTGACATACACCCGGATATGTCTACAGTCGAGCTGGTTCTCCCTTACCAATATGTGCAATTGCACATTTTCCAGGATACTGAGTTATACCACAATACTCACAGCTTCTGTTTTTTTTTTCTATAGCTGACTTGTCGAGTGAATCTTCTGTTATCTTCGATAAATCACAACTAAACGCATGTAACGAAAAATGATATAGTAAAAAGTTTCTCAAACAGTTTTAACCTGCCATTTGTAGTTTTTATTACAAGACTTTTGGGACAACAACATGTAGTACGTCAGGGAGAGACTGCTAGATGACTGAAATGAATGGTTGGATGAAAGAAAAGTGAATCAACAAGATAATAGGCTGTCAGAGGAGATCCACGAATAAACGATTGATCAAATGGATAACTATGCTCTAAATGGTTGCACTGAGCAGCGGAGTACTGGTTGAAGAATAGCAGATCACTGGATAACTGATTGAATGAATAGATAATCTAACAGTAAGTGATCTAATAGTAATTAATAGATAGCAGAGATGTGCATTCCCGCTTCACATAGATACTGAGTGTCCTTCAAACAGATGCATGATTGTATGTTGTCAAAGAAAATACCAATAGAAATTTCATTCACCCAACGATCCCGTAGCTTTATGAAAAAATTGGAAGTTCATACGATGCTGATGCCAAAAGCCTTTTGTAATTCCAGAACTAATGGAGAAAACTACTTCTAAGTATCTGTTCACTTTTCAATTCCGGAAATTTCACGGATACCACTGTATATATCATGGACAATTTGCATTTCACACGCAAAAGAATAATCGTTCAGGAATCAGCAAGATTGTCCATAGGTATTGCATTTGAAAAGTCTCTAGATGCAGTTACAATTCTTTTTTTAGCGTTAGCTGTTTTTTTATCTTACATCTGGATAATATGAAAAGCATTAAGTCCATCCAAAATCTGGAAACTTATACCGAACACAAAAGATTTTATACATAGTATATCATGCATGCACATACATCATCAAATTACAGTCAAAAGGACTAGTCTCGACTGCCTGTTTTGATCCAGACCTCAAAAAAGCGTTAACATGAGTCACATGCTATTCTCGTCTCATCGGCGCGGTTTCTGTCGATTCATGTGCCCTCAAAACATCCGATAAACAAACGTAGCAACATGTGGTCAACATCTGTTGCTGCTGGGGTTCATACCCAACTGAACATCGCACCGCGCTGCACTGTTGCGATAAAGCTCGGGGAACTCCGGCGAAACAAAGCCTGGTAGGACTAAAATGATGATTTTCAAGCATTTCCTAGTAGCTATAAATTGGTACTTCTATGCTTTACCTGCATCTACAGTGATGGAGAGGTCTAGACCTCTACATTCTACCGCCCATACCGTCTACGTGAGAAAAACACGAACGATGTCCTGTTTTGGCAAATCTATCTTCTTCAAGCTTTCCAACTAAATTTATGTACTCGAATCTCCAATCCTCTTTTATGCTAAACCAACATTTGCGTATTTGTTTAATTCGTCACTAAGCTTGAAGCTTGAGTTAGCAGACGTTCTCCATAGGGGTTCGGTCTGTCTATAGTAGTTCTTACGGAGTTTTTGTCATCAGCTACCTCAAACTATCCCTTCAATTTCTAACGTTCGGGGGGTATCCTAAATAAAAATAAGTCAAACTGGTGAGTTATACTAATAAATTTCTAATTCATTTGATGATGAATCAGTGTTTTTGCCTCAGTTGTGATATGCAGAAGTTACAACCATGACTGACCCTTATCTCAAATCACAGAGATGAATTAACACATTCACGACAGGGCCGATTTTTCGATGACTGCCATTTCGGACCAGAGCGCATTTCGCAAAATTGAGTTTGCATAATATTTTCAGGTTACTGATGAGTCTTGTGGCCTGAAGTGTTGATCTTCTGGGAAGTACTCCAATAGGTGTATACAGAAGTTTACTCGGTTTGCCTAAAAAGTTTCAGTGTGACCTAGCAAAATCAAAAACTTCAGAAAGCATACGACCCACCCGTGGGTCGTATTGTCCGAAATGGCAGGATACGTACGACCCACCGGTGGGTCGTATTGTCGTGAAGTTGTTAAATTTCAAGTGGTCCAAATTTATCGGAAAGCGACTTCAAAAATTCTGCACCTACTTAAGTCTGTTGGAACTAGCGTTTTTTTACCAACATTTGTAGCACAAAAATTCTTCGCAGTTTACAATATATGTAGCTTCTAGTCCAATTGCTGGTCGCGGATTAACAAATTACTATTACTAGTACTATTACCAACTTATAACTTATTTTACGGAAGCAAAGTGTAACAATGGTAAAAGTGACGGTTTTCTCGACATTGTTAGCTGAATTTCGAATTTCATGAGATTCAGCAACCGCAACAGGAAAGTTTCTAGGCGAGAGACAGAGAGGGGAATGACTGTCCAAACGAGGATTTTCCTTATCCCTACTTTTACTGCTTTAAAATGTCGAGGAGGATCTGAAGGCACGGATTTGAGAGTAGTCCATTCTGCCGTTGAATTCTAGGTCGGTTCACCGAGATTTTTATACTTTCTTTAACGTCTGACGCTTCTGTGTTTCCGCTTTTTTTAACAGCAACCAGAATATTGTAAAAAATTTTAGCTCGCTGGATTTATCTATAGATTCATACCTTGCAGCGTTTGAAACTGCCAAACTTTTAGGCTCGAAAAGAAAGTATCAATAGTCTGTTATTCCACAAAGCATTTTTACAATAAACCCGATACGAAGTTTACACGAATCTTAACTACGAGCTTAAGAAAACATTTCCAATCATATCAGCTCAAAACCCAACGAGTTTGCCTCAAGAAATGTAACGATTTGGAAGAAATGTTGCATGTTTCCTGAACAAACTTCCACAATCTCCTGGTGGTGGACGATTTAGTGTGCAATTGAACAGCATCACAGTAAACTTCATTAGAGCCGGCTTTATAGCAAAGTAAAAAATCACAAAAAATCATCTAAAACGCAAGCGGAAACATACAAAATATGAAAAGAGATTATCACAGGACAGATCAATAAATCAATAGGGTATACACATGCAGTATTAGTAGGGAATTTTTTCATGTGCTAACACTATAGAACCGGGGGTTATGGTACACGTATGGGACATAGTCGGTGTCTAATGACGTCATCAAATTTGAGGAAAGTAGTGGTGGATGGACGGGGAGCGGGAAATTAAAGAGCATAGAAAAATAGCAGAGTAAGGATGATGCTAATGAGTACGGGAACGCCAGGGGCATCGTCTTCATCGTCGGTTCTGAAAAAAATGACAAAAAATGAAACACAAAATGTTTAAAAATGGAAAAATAAATAAATAATCACTGAACAATGGCATTGAGGAAGTGGGAGAGGGGAAGGGGGGGGGAAGGAAACAATGCATGTATTGTGTTCAACGGCAAACCGCAATCGGGAACGGATAACTTGCTAAGCAAGGGCTAACCGAGCGATTATTATGTTCTCGCGCATGTTCTGACCTTAGCCTTGAGAAAACCGGGTTTTGCAAAGGGGATCTATAAAAGCTGAATATGCTGTAACAATGGATTGCGCAATGATCCTCTGTCTTGCAGGATTTTCTTCGGCTCTAAGTGCTGCACTTATTTTGATCTCTATAGCCTATTTGGGTTACATCGCCAGTGATCTAAGCGAATTCTATGAGGGTTCCTTGAAGGATTTGGAAGAGTTTAAGGTGAGCTTATGGCTGCTTTATGCACAAAATTCGGGCTACCGTAACCCAACCATGGTTATTTAAAGTAAACTTCATTTTTCAGGGCTTCGCCGACGATGCTTGGGCAAAAATGCTCGTCACCAACTCTCCTATCAGACTTCCCCGAAGAGTCCCAGTCGAAGTCAGGGCTGCTACTGACCGCGAGAACGGCCCTCCTTCCTTTGGACCACCTCGCAACATTTGCGATCCCGAGCCGAACAACTGCCCACCTGGACCTCCCGGACCCGCTGGACAGCCTGGTGAGAATGGCCCTGATGGAGAGGATGGTCTGGAAGGTAGACCAGGAGAAAGCTTCAATGGTCTTGTGACTGTTAGGCCCAAGACCTACGACGTAGCTTGCAACTGCCCTGCTGGTCCACCTGGACCCCAAGGCACCGTTGGACGGCCTGGCCGGGCAGGCCGCAATGGTTTCACAGGACGACAAGGCTACCGTGGAAACTATGGACCACCAGGACCCCCGGGGCCAGCGGGAGATCAAGGGCGACAAGGCTTCCCGGGAGCAGTAGGACCCCGAGGCCGACCGGGTCTAAATGGTCGTCGAGGCCAGGGCCACCCTGGACCACGTGGACAACAAGGACCTCATGGACCACCCGGTCCTAATGGCGAAAATGGGCAGAATGGCGAGCACGGCTTACACGGTCTATCAGGACCCCAAGGACCACCCGGTCTCCCTGGCTATGATGGAGAAGATGGACTTCCAGGAGTTCCGGGAGATCCCGGACTCAACGGTGAAGATGCAGCATATTGCAAGTGCCCGAGAAGGAATCGTGAAGCAAAGCAAAGGGGTGTGAAGGCGGAAGTAGTGAAAAAACCAGTGAAGATTCATTCAAATGACGGTCGCATTAGGATATCCAACAAATAGATCGATAGAAAGTTGGATTACTGTAATTTTTGTATGTACTGTAACTATTGATCAATAAATCTTGCAAGCTTCAAAAGTCATGGTCACTCCCACCCTACTTTGTTTTGCTAGAAAAGATCGTACTGGATCTAGATGTGCTTCAAGAAAATTACACATTCTTCAAAGACAAAAGCTCTCAAGCTTCAGAAAAAGTGAATTTCTTGCCAGTAGTCAAAAAAAATTTTGTGCTTGATTTATAATGTAAGTTAAGCTTTATGTACTAGGATCAGAGAAAAACATTGTGCAGAGAAATTTGCAACATTATTTTTTCGCTTATTTTTATAATTTAAATTTCATGGTTTATTTGCTTCAATTACGGTAAGCAGACGAGATTTTCGAGCAACGAAATTTGGCAATGTCCTTTTTGTAGCTGAAAGGTGCAACATAAAAATGCCAAAGAATTTCGAAAAGTGTTTTCTAAAACGTATTTTCACTAGTCCATAGAATGTTATAGTGTCATCGCGCAAATTTTTGGTAATTAAGTTAGGAATTTTTATAACAAAGGAATACCATGGATGCGTTTCATCTCCTTTGAAAGGACAGTCCTTAGTGAGAATCCCGTACTGATCAGAAAGTGCCCTATTATAGAAAGAGGAAAGAAAGAAAAATGATCACTATGCATTTTGCCGTTGGATAAATCCAAAAACCCAACTATAAAATTAACATCGCCTTACAAGCCATTTTACACCCTTATTTTTTCCTTCCTGAAACTCCTGGTAGAGGTGGGAAAGTTGGTCTTTGTTTGTACTCTTTTAAAATGAATGTAAATACATATTCCTCTTTTTCTGCACATTTCTCCACAGAAGAGAACATAAACGAAACCAACTTTCCCACCTCTACGCCCCCTCCCCCTCCCTCCCACCCCTATGTCGTCAATCTCTCCCATCAAATCCTTCTAACGGCTATTGTCGTTAAACTATATCATAGCCGCGATATCGAGTTTCACGCGGTCGCCGAGAAAATCATTTGATGAAAAAACTTGCGCGGTCACATCCATAGTTAGCGTATAAAATCACCCACAGATTCGAGAAGTTAGGTCTCGACTCGAAATGTCTGGCAAGGCATTTGTAGTCTTCGCATCTGCGTTGAGCGCCGTCGCTATTGGTGTAGCTCTTACTTCGGCGATAGTGATGATAAACGACATCAACAACTTCTACGATGATGCGATTAGCAATTTGGACGAGTTTAAGGTAGGCAAAGGTTTCTTGGAACTTTGCCAAAGCAGTTAGTTATTGGTTCTTCTAGGAATTCGCCAATGAAGCCTGGAACACGATGATTATCAGCTCCAAAGCTGAGTCCATGGACCTCCTTTTCGGAAGAACCAAGAGAGCTAGCGGTTCGTGCAATTGCGGTGCCCAACCCAACAACTGTCCACCCGGACCACCTGGACCACCGGGACAATCTGGTATGCCGGGAATGCCCGGAAGCCATGGTGCTCCCGGACCTCACGGTATGAGAGGTGTCAGCATGACCGGTGGTATGAACCAACCCGTCGGTTGTATTAAATGTCCCGCCGGACCTCCTGGACCCCCGGGAATGAATGGCTCCCCTGGAATCATTGGAGCAAATGGTATGCCAGGAATGCCGGGAATGCCAGGAGTGAGAGGACCAGAAGGACCAGATGGCGAACCTGGAAATGCTGGTAACCCCGGACGCCCTGGAATGAATGGACAACCCGGAACACCTGGAATGAATGCAATGCGAGGACATGGCCGACCCGGTAGACCCGGACCACCTGGAATGATGGGAACTCCCGGAACTCCCGGCACACGTGGAACGAATGGAATGGATGGAATGCCTGGCTCAATGGGAATTCCTGGAATGCCCGGAAAACCAGGAACAAAGGGAGCGGACGGAAGCCCAGGAATGACTGGCGGTCCAGGATTACCGGGAGAGGATGGAGTCTACTGCCCTTGTCCTCGCAGAATCTCCGAATTTGCCCAACCACCAGAACCTCGGCCCAGTGCCGCCATCGTGGCGCAGCCACCGGCTCCCAGCCCGCCCAGCGCCGCCGTCGAGGCTCAACCACCGGCTTCCACGCCGGCTCCTGTCACCGCCGATGCTGCTGTGATCGGCAAGTCCGGTTATAACTAGAATTTTGAAAAAATTTAGGTAGAATAAATTTTTCTGATTTTTTGTCTTGTGTTGCATAAGGCGGTACAGTTAACGAATGCCATGAATCACAATGCCCATTACGACATGATTGACCAAAAACGCTTCGCAACCGCTACGCACAAGCCAGCTCAGAGCCGTGCGCTGCCTAAATTGTGCTCAAGTGACTCGTCATAGATAGCGGCACATACAAAGAACAAAAATGCGAGTAAATGATGAGTCCTCCTTGCAAAATGTCGAGATTATGCAAATAACCAAACATTGCAGACTGGGGTAACTGAACCGACTGTTCCCGTTTTACTTGTCAGTAGAGCACATTTTGACGCAATCTAATAGACTTACCTCTTTTTCTTGTCGCTTTCTCCGCTTCCATCCTCATAATCTTTCCATCGAGGGCGTAGCTGAAAAGGTACAACTTGCTTGTAAATTGGTTTTTTCGAACTTTTTCGAAATCGTGGAGGGGTAGTTTTTTTGCATATTTTTTCCGATTAAACTCGTCCCCACCTCCTCCGACTCGTCCTCGCCGCTACCCTTTCTCTTCTTCTTTTCATCCTTGTCGTGTTCTTCACTCTTCTCATCCTTATCATCCTTTGTTGTTTTCTTCTTTTCATCTTTAGCTTTCTTCTCGTCTTTCGCTTCTTTTCTCGACTTTGAGGACTTGCTAGTGGTATCATCTTTTTCCGAGGAGGTTTCTTTCTCCTTCTAAAAATACCACTAGGCTTTTTAAGCTGGAAGAAGCTCAACAGAATGAGACAATGATCCACCGTTGATTTCTTTTCATCATCCTCCTCCAACAAGTCTTTTTCGATCTTTCGTTTGAGCGAATCCCTTCTCTTTTCGCCTTCTACCTTCATTTTATCAAACTGATTTTTTGGCGCGGAAGCCTAAAATATTGAATGCGTTGGAGCGCAATACAACATAATACGTTGCTGGTTTACTTCGGATTTCATGCCATCCTCGCGTTCTTCTGATGAGGATTCACGAACTACTGGCACCTTCTTTGGTTCGGGAATACGAAGTGGCTGAAATTGCAAGCATTATAGAATGAGGAACTAGAAAGCATATCATTTATTTGGTCTCATATTTCTGCACACTTTTTTCCCTCTCCAGCCATCTGAGAGGAGGGAAGAAGTTTGCAACGAAACCTGAAAATGGGCGTGGCAATTGGTAGATTTTCTAGCAGGCAGGTGTTCGCGATCACTCAATTGCATTGCATATTCTCTACAATTCGAGCAGGGAGAAGCAGTGGCTGTCGGAAATGGGCGTGGCAATTGGTACAAGACTGTCTAGCGTGCAAGGCGAATTTAATCGCTCAGTCATACTGCATTTATTCGACTAATTTATAGAGCAGCAGAGCGAGTAATGGCAGTCAAATTTAGGCTTGGCACTTGGGCCAAAATAAATATTGAGAGGCTTCCAATCCTTGGATGATACTCCTTTTTCATGAGATCCAAGTCGACCATCTTTCTCCACCGATAAAACCTACTTTACCTCGTTTGTCGACATTATTCGAGCGTTCCTATATGCTGGCACAACAGGCACTCCGAGGTCTTCATCGATCACCAAATCACCTTAAACATCCTTCGGAGACAACGAGATTTGATTACAAAGTCGCTTACTTTCCCACTTCCCACTGATTAGTTTGTACTCGGCTTTCTTTGGCATCTTGACGTCAAAGGTGGTCTGGCATTGCGTGTGGGTCGAATCGGTGTTGCCATCAGGCGCCGTGGATTGGATGTACTTTAAAAAATGTCTTAGACTACGTTGTACCCACATCTAAATATTAGTGTCGGACCAAACAAGGTATGGAGGGGTGGTAAGGGGGATCAAGTTGTGCTAAGACCTCAATATTTTATCACAGAGTTATCAGGAACTTGAATTTTCTCAAGCTTTAAGAGAAGATTAAGGCTTGAAAAAATTTTTAGAGGCTTGGCTGTCATAAAATTTTCCAGGGGGGGGGGAGGAGGGGTGACGTAGTTATCACCACAATTTTGTCGAACAAGGTCTTTGGGGAAAAACGTGATGTGAGATGTATCAAGAAGATAGCAGTTTGAAGCTTAAGCCGCATCCTTTCAACGATTCATTCAGAAATTTTAAGGTCCCATTTCTCCAAATAGAATTTTTTGAACCGCACTGCTAACTGGGTTTAGGTAGACTCTTTGGGTAACCCATCAAGTTCAGTGTGGGTTGTAATTCTCAAAAAATAACCATTTGAATATCACGCATAAAGTATTGCTTTATAACTTCTGCAAGAAAATAATTTGCTTTATCTCGTTCTTTCTTATCTCAGAATTGTGATATAGTACTTACTCTTCATTTCCTGTATAAAAATATGATTTATTCGCATATTTTTTCTCTTAGCCAGGGCAGATTTCGACCCTACATTACATATCTTCGTGACCCACCTCAAGGATAATGATTGGCTCCCCCCGTCCGATCCTTGCAGCTATGCCTTTCGGATGATGGAAGGAACAAATATAAGCGTGTTGGAAGTTTCTTGCACCCTAAAGCAAAGCTTCTAAATATTAAAAATAGAGATTTTATAAATGTTCTCCTCTCAGATGATCGCTGCCAACTGCACCTTGTTCTTGACCAGGACAGCGACATATCCAAGGCCTGACATCATAGCAGTGTTTAATGTTGTAGTATTTTTAGACGGATCAAATTGCATCTAAAAGATGTCTTATGTGGAAAATCAATGATAATAACCTACAGGAAAACTCACACTAAAAGCTGCATTGCAGTTATCAATACAGTGTTTGGGATAAGCATAGCATTCCGCATCTCGTGGACATGAGAAGAGTAATATCGGCTTCTTAAATAACGGTACAATGAAATTTCTGAAACTTTTGCCCTGAAAATTCTCAAAACCTAAAATGTCCAATAATATTCGTGAAGCCGCATACCGTATATCAACGTACTGTTAGCATACTGTACCAGTAACTCATTTCTCAACAGAAAGTGTGAAAGCTTCGCGAAGTTTACGGCGATTTCTGATAACCTGGTTAAATTTGTTTTATAGAGCTTACCTCAGTTGGCGCGCCTAATGATTGTCGAAGAAATCCGAATAGAAGCAAAACCACACACCACATCTAAAATTGAAGTAGTAGGATTACAGTAAGCATCTTTTGAAAAGTTCGAAGTCGATAACAAGGCCTGAAGCTATGAGCTTTAGCCTTAACATTACTTGAAGCGATGAAATTCTAAGAAGAGTAAGCTGACAAGACCAAGAGAATGTTCCAGGAAGATTCTGGAACAACCACCGCTGACAAAAGTTCTCAGAGAGTGCCGAAATGTACCCAGTGCTGGGCAAATTTTCCCGCAATTTTCGATTGTGGATCAGATCAGAGCCTAGCAGATCAGATGAAAATTCATTCAAAGATAATTGTGAGGGAATGATTTGAGAGTACTATCACAAGGATTCTTGGAGAAGTGCAAAAGATGAAAATCATTCTTGAAATGAACATCATTTGGAAATAAGTGAGAATTCGTCAAGAAGTGAAGAATTCTTGAAGAACTGCAAAAGATGCGATTTATTCTTGAGATGAGCTTCATAGGGAGGAAGTGAAATGGTCCACTAATACTTTGCTTTTCCAAGGAAAATACATTTTTTGTCTTTCAGCTGATTTTTCATACTCATTCAACTATACAATATTACTCCTTCCTTCGGATTCGTGAAGAAATGGGGTCACTATTTTGAACATTTGATTTATTCTCACAAACCTGAAATTTGTTTTGAATTTTTTTCAGTATCACGTCCGGGTGCCCGCATCTTCGCGGAATGTATCTCATAATTTTCAGGTAAATCAAGGGTAACGAAAGGCCTTCAAAAACAAACCTTACTTGACCTCTGCCCCTATGCTTCAGGCTTGCGGTAAATCAAATCATATGATAAATAAAGTTGATTCATTATTCCTGCAGTTGTAATCAAGAATTCGTTGTAGAGTTTCTCGAGCGTCAATTTCAATTATACACTTTTTCGTACAGAGTTAATGTCAATCTTTTCTGATGGAGGAATTTCTCTTCTATTTTATGAAGTCAAATCAGACAATTCGCAATAATGACTTTGCGCATCATCCGAACAGTACAGATTTTCCTTGTTAACAACTAAACAAAAAACTAAAAACCAGATAAAAGGGTGTACTTTTGAGCAGTCGAAATTCAAGAATCGAGGTTTCTCTAAAGTTGTATAGCACCAACTTGCCGACACCAAAATGCCGTAAAAATTGGAAGGTGCACAATTTCCTCAAAATATAATAAGCAAACTCTCTAAGCCGGACTTGTTGACTGGGACTAGAATGAAAATCTAAGTTTTGGTGCAAAAGTTACATATCAGTTTGATAATCTCATCCGACATATGCCCTCACGTTAATATGAACAATGCCTTTGGTGTTGACCCATCAGTACTCGGGACAGAAAATTGCCAGTCGAAGTTCTAACTGACAGCTGATATCGTCCTTGGGGGAGAAACGCCTAGTCGTACGTATTGATAAGGCTACAGCATAAACTTGTTGATTTTCTCTTGAGAACGGCGTAGCCTATAGGCGCCAGTTTCCATCTTCTATCACCTTACTGTTATTTTTACTAGAAGTACTATTTACGTCGAAACATCCATTTTGCATTCGAAAGTGCAGACCTTTGAAGAAATTCTAAGCGCTACTAAAGCATGTCCATTTTTGTAATCAAATTTTTAAAGTTGAGCATTCTTGTCTCGGAAGAGTAGCAGAATTGTCTTTATGCCTTAAATTTCCGTTCGTGTGATTTTATCTTCTGTAAATGCTGCACATTTCGAGTATTATTATGAGTATCATTGTAGAATTATTTGAAAAGAGAGAGAACGCAACGTAGCACTAAATCATAAAGATGACAACCCGGTTTTCATTATATGATTTCTAATGCTAACTATTGTTGTGTACAGTATTATTGTAGGAGTACAATATTCTTATCAGAATAGGAGTAATTTTGAATTAGTTTTTTTCCGTACAAATAGTAAGATCGATTTTCAGAAACAGTCTCCTCTTGATATTCTTTCGATTTTCATTGCATAAGGCATCCCTCAGTTAGACTCTCTATGATGTATATTTGTGGTTTTTTCCTGCTCTTGGCTGTGCTGTTGTTAAAGAATTGAAAACTTTGCATAAAACTTTGGGATTTTCTCGTACTACACTTGCAGATTCAATTTGAGCAGTCCAGATCGAAATTTGACTTTTTGTGGCCATGTAGATATCTGAAAATATCAAAAAAGCGTACATAGCAGTTCTACATTTTACATTCTGCTTCTCTTCAATTTTCGAAGCACAATTTCCCAAATTTGTTGAAGGAATTCTCTGACAGATTCTCGTTAGAAGACAATTTTTCTCTTTTTTGCAGCAGTTCATCATCAAAAAGACATTCTTGCTCAAACAGATTAGATCATATGATTCTTTTAAGAACAATGCTTCTAACGATCATATCATGAGGGGGTTTATGTCTTACATTTCCAAAATGTGGAAAAAAATCAGAAATATTTTTAGCCACTGTATTTGCAGAATCTGCAAAAGTAGCTCCCTTCACTCTCTATTTTCATTGTGATGCATGATGTTTAGGACACAGCTATGATCGTGAAATCAAAACTGAAAGCTGCTCAACCTCATGAACCCATTCATATCACAATTCTGAGGCGATGTCTGCAGTTCCATGCAGATGATCCAGAGAAGAAAGCTTATGTAAGTATGAGTATGATAGAAAATGTTATAATTCTTAACCATATACGTTTATTTTAGTTCTCAAGTATTGATAACTCAGATGGGGTAACATTCAAGCAAATCCGTGACTATTCGCTGAGTTTGGCTTCGTGGTTTGTAGAGAATGGTTTCCGGAAGGTAAAGTTTTCCAAGACATAGATCATTTTGGTCCTAAAAATTGTTATTCTTTTATTTATTTTAGGGTGATGTTCTGCTTCTTTGTATGTACAATAGCTGGCACTTCGTTGTGACTTGCCTAGGTGCTTGGTCCGCTGGTTTGGTTGTGTCTCCTGCTAGCACATTGTTCACTGAATGTAAGTCAGCTTTCAAACCACGAAAATCTTATCATTACGAGAAAAAAATGGTTTATCCTTGAAATCAGCGTCTTTTTCTTTCTCCGAAGATATGTCCAGCGTTACCAGTGTCATGCAGTGCCAGCGCCGTGCAGCGCCATGCCAGACAGCCGCGATCAATACGGACGAGCTTCGGCGCGGCGCTGGAACAGCACTGGCACAATGTCGACACACGGGCAACTTTGGACGTTGATGGTACAAATTACACACTTGTAGATCATACGTATGCACGAGTTAAAAAATTAATTTTTCTTTGCCCCTCTGCTCCTTATTCCTCCGATCTTAACCAACCTTTACAGACGAACTTCGCTACCAGCTTGAAGACTCCACTGCCAAAATAATTGTCACAGAAGAATCACTGCTGGAAAAAATCACAAAAGCAAATAGCACTGGTGCTAAGGTAAATCTGATTACTCCATAAATCTAAAACGACAATTTTATGACCCACGGATTAGGCGTCAGTCATACTTCTGCGTCTCTACTGGGATACAAAGCGAAAGATTCTTTCAGAGAGACGCAGATAGTGAGAATGACTATAGCACGCTTTGTTTCGACTACATGCAAAAGCCGCTAATTTCCACTCTGTGCGTTCAGGGAACTGTTCTTATAAAAATAATTCTGTGATTTACAGATCCTCTGCGTTAGTGAAAAGACAGCAAGTGCTGACGATTTCATGAACATCGTCACAAAACAAAGGACCTCTACAGCGGTACCAGTGCCTGTTAAATTGGAGAATGTTAGTAGTGCAGAACCCTGACTTTTTTAAGTAAATTTCGTTACAGGATCTGATTTTGCTTTCTTATTCGAGTGGGACCACTGGCGCCCCAAAGGGCGTGATGCTTAGTCATAGAAACTATGCGGCAGCGTTAATATCCTATGTCATGTGGGTTCAAAAGCCGATTTTGACATTAGACAAGGATCTCTGTAAATTATTTTCAACTTGTGAAAGCTGGAATCATCAGATCTACTGATATCCTATGTGTAATAATGAAATCTGTAATATAAGGCTTTAAGTGTTTTGAGCACTGCAGTCGTTTTTTTCGCAGATTTCATAATCTATTGATTACTAGTTGAAAATCAAGCAGGTTTTTTTCACTTCTTGATCGAAACGAGCAAAGATGTTGAGACTCGCCAATCTTTGTTTGGTTGCTTTATAGCTCTTTCCTCATTATACAGTAGCACTTCCGTAGTTCTATCTTAATTCATTGAAATTAGTCAGTTTATTTTGGTATTACTGAAGCCCTGAGATCTCATCGCACAATCTGACTCTATACATTACTTTTTACTCTTGAAAGCAATGGATGTTTGAGAGATTGTTTTGGATAAGGTGGGAGAGGGGAGGAAGCTATAATTTTTCCAAATGGGGACCATGACGTTAACTGGCTCTCCAAAGTCTTTTTCGGGAAGCTTCCTAGCCTTATAGACATTTTTATGCTTTTTGCATTTCTATTACAGTCGAATTTTTGAAAAGTTTTTCAAACTTATATGAAATTCTAGATTTATTTTAGTCATTCACAAATTTTAGATACTTGTAAAATTTTTGACACACCTAACATTTTTTTGCAGATTTCGCTGCACATTATCAGGGAAGAGGTGGAGGGGGGTGGGGGGAAGAGAGGGAGGGCTTGCCAGTGATATTGTAGGCATTTGCGTGATGGAAAAGCATTTTAGGTTTAGCTCCAAAAATAAAGTGTGATTTCGTTACAAGGGCTGATATACTTTACTCGAACCATAGGATAGGATTTTACAAAATAGGCGATATTGATGCTTGTTTAGTCATTTTAGCTAGCAATGTTATTTCAGTTACCAATGCTAAAAATGATATTTCTTAGTGATTGATGTACAAAATTGAGGATCGTACTTTTTCAACAGATGTGACACCTCTTGTATAACGATATAAAAAGGTCAAAATTTTGTGTCTTTATTGTAAAAGAAACTTTCCATCTACGAAGTGTGTAATACGACAATTTGTAGAAAGTTCGATGATTCTTACAAAGCCTTGGGCCTTGACGGCTTTGTCCCTCCTGCGCATTTGATGGCCTTTCTTCCCTCTTATCATGCAATGGGTCTCTTTGGGTAAGTCTCAGTCATAACATCCAAGATTTAGAAACTCTACGACTTAACATTTCAGTACAATGTTCGCATTACACAATGGAACAACACAAATTACTATGAAAAAATTCGATTTAGAATCTCTTCTTCGGCATTTACAAGACTACAATGTAAGCAGAAATGAAAAAAAGAATAAACTTGTAAAAATTCAGATAAACACAACATGAGTAAACATTTAGATCTCATCGCTAGGAGCTGTCCCATCTGTAGTGCTGGCTATGGCTGAATCACCCATTCTGGACAATTATGATCTCAGCTCATTGATGATGATTGCAACGGGTGGAGCTCCCCTCAGCCTAAAAGTTGTTGAGCGTCTTCAAAAGCGCTTGCCACATGTACAGCTATTCCAAGGATACGGTATGACCGAAATGAGCATTGCTTCCCATATATCTGCGCTCGGTTGTCCTGATGGCAGTGTTGGACAGTTGCTGCCAAATACAGAGATGAAGGTGAGTCTTTAAAAAAAGGAGAGTTCTAACTAGCGAATTCATACTTGAAAGTTGGGGGTGATTAAGAGTGTCATTGTTTACTTGGTTTAACTATGATTGAGAGGTCAAATTCCTAGTTTTCGCCCAGTACCGTATTTCTACGAACCAATCGTCGTCGAGTACGGTATTGGGCGAGACTTGAATTTTTGTGAGGCAAGAGAACCGAACAAACATCTTCTTGTTTTTTAGCGTAAGCACTAGCAATTGTCCTTTTCAGTAGTCGTGTAAAAAGTACATAATTTGCTTGAATAATACCTTCAACGGTGTTTTTAAGGTGATCTCAAAGACAGGAAAACTCTGTGGACCAAGAGAACAAGGAGAATTGTGGGTACGTGGACCGCAAGTCATGAAAGGATACTGGAGGAGACCAGAGCTCTCTAAAGATCTGTTTGACAGTGAGGGGTTTATGCGCACAGGTGAGTAGCACGATTGATTGGAAGCCTGTAATAGTTTCGATTTTTGAGTTTTACTTGTACAATCATAGAATTTTGTCTCAGTTCTCAAATATGACTATCCGTAAAATAGAATTCACTCCTAACAAGGGAATATAGACGTGTACAATCACTCCTAAGTGCCTTCCAAGAGCAAGATGAGAAAGCGTGAAGAAGAAAGAAGACAGTGATATTTTGGGAAATTCTTTACACAAACGCTTTCTCTACATAGATGTTTTTATCTTTTCAACACATTCAAAGAATATCTCGCAACCTGCAAAAGCTGAAGTCGTGCTTAGAAAGGACTTTTGTCCAATAATATTAGGTAATTCTAGAGGTTTTCCTTTCTGGCCCACTTGAATTAGTGCCATATTTCGCAAGTTCGCAGCGCGAAATGGTCGCTAGGAGTGTTATGTCCACTACCGACACTATCCAACATATGAAATTGGAAGATGTTACTCCGTACCATATTCTTTTATGTTGGGACGTCCTATTCATTATGCGTTCCACCCTTGGATCTCTTAGTGATTGCTGCGTTTGATACCGCGACTTTCTCCCTTTCTTAGCTAGTATTGGCTTCTTTGTCTTTTTTGTCGTAGACCTTATCATGCATTCCTAGTCTATCTTCTGCTTTGCACTCTGCGCCTCACCGAGATTCAACATGTATCGCGACTTCGCGCGCGAGCAGCTCCTCTAATAGTTTGGCCGTGAGCACTGTATGTCGCGTAATTTCACGTCTACCGCGTTCGTCGTCATATTGGGCTTTTGGGTTAAGCGGTTGAGCAATGTGGTATTTCCTAGGTTGGACGTTCTGCAGCTCAAGAGAGTTCTCGAAATACTAGGTGGTCATCGTTGCGGAAGGGAGCGGTGTTGCGCTGTTCCATACGGACAGGGCTTCTCGGGCCGGCCCTGTGAAAAAAGCCGAAAGATCATCTTCTTGACTTAGTCTCATAACATCAGCGGCAGGGACGACGCGGCTCGTTCTGTTTAATTGTTTTGAGCTACTATCTCAGTAGTTGCAGTAGCTAGTGGTTTCACTTTCATTTTTTGGTATTAATCCATTGACGACGACCTCTAATTTTTGCTTGGCGGCGCTGTGGGACAACGCCATTTTGACAACACTTTTGGCATGGAGAAGTTTTCTGATTATTTACGAAATGTAAAGTTGTTCTGTAAACAACTACAGTCATCTTCTTAAACGAGTCTACAGGTTCCAGAGTGCAAAAATTGGAAAAAATACTGAACTGTGAAGAAAAGACTAGACCTGAAAACGATATGATTTCGCAAGGGTTGTGGGCCGCCGGTGGTCCGCATCGTCCCTGGTGGCAAAAAGTGCGTGGGCCACCGGTGGTCTACATCGTCGTCAATGGGTTAAATAGCTATGATAAATTGTTTGACCTAATCGCGCGTGCTTTATGAGTTATTTGTTGAAGTGACACCGCTTCAAGTGGACGTGTCGAGGTGCACGTCGGTCGCGGACGCGAAAGATCCTATGGTGCGAGGTCCGCAGTGCAGACCAATCAGCTAGGTGTTGGGCGGGAGCCGCGACAATGCCTACATCTTCAGTACTTCCGCTGGTCGAGACTCATGTTTCTAAAAGAACTGGCTCTTCTGATTCCAAACTTCAGTGTCTCATTTTCTTCAGCTATCTAAAAACGGCTTCCTTGCTATTTCTCTCCTTTTCTTTGTATCCGCCTCAAACAACCACCTCTTCTTTGTATTCCCCTAGCTATTCAGGTGTTCCCTTAGTATTCGAGCACCTCACTTCTATAAGTGTGAAATAATTTTTTGTTTGCATGGTATTCTTACTGACGAAGGATCCCAAATCGCAATGATCTTTGGCATATCAAGTACGCCTTGTGGTAGGTTCCTGGATGCCCATCTCATATCTGACCCGGATATCTGCTGCGGACCTTTGCTGAAAGAGTTGCGAAGGATTCCTACTGCGGGTTTGCTAGGCGCGCCTTGACACAGGGCATGGCGGCAGACTGGCAGTGGCTCAGGCGAGCCTACCCTGCAAGGCGAAGGCTGTCTCGGCTGATTTTGACCCTAAAAAGTGAGAGGTGTCCCAAAGTGCTGAAAATTTACATGGACAATGGACACTGGCAGTCGACAGCATGTACGGCGCCGACGGACAGTTGTACTTGGCACTTACAAAGGTGGATAATGCTATTGAGGAAGGACATGTTCTCGGCTATGATTGTGGAATTATTGTTGCAAATAAAGGCATATGTCGGTATTTATGGAGCACAAAAATTGCATCAGAATGTTACTGTGCTCGCTTTAAGCGGAGTAAACAGGTAGAGTTTAGCATAGCGGCAAGAATAGTATAATTGGTGTTAGGAGAAATTCTTAGGAAGTAAAGTGGGCCACGATGCTGATGGTATTGAAGCAAGATCAGTTTTCAGTCAGTATTAGGTTGTCCGGAAAATGTCGCATGGCATCCTATCGCAACAGAAATGACCACAAAAAACAGCGAATGGGGTATTATTCGATAGAGCAAAGCAAGCTCTACAAGATAGTTTACAAATCTCCGCGAAAATCGTGCTCCACCTGAAGTTCGAATCCAAAATATAAAAAATTTCAGATGTCCGAGAAATCGTATTTTCGTGCATAGACGTCTTGCGGATCTCCAATTTGCACAGGCATGTACTCTCTACACTAAACATTCACCTGTATAGTTTGTGGTATTTTTCCATGGCTACAGTACGAGAAATAAAAATAGGAAAAAAATGAAAAATAGAAATAAAATCAAAAGTGCGAATATGTCGCGTTTTTTGGGTTTTTTGCAAATAGTTTGATTTTTCTCGAAAACTAGCTCTTGTCGAAAGCTGAAAATTCATGATTATACTCCTAATGGTTCATACTACAAAATCACCTATGTAAGGGAAGCTCAGGATTTTTGGCAAAAATATGCCGAATTTGGTTTTCTCAAAATTCAACCATGGAAAAATCACGAAAATGTGCATACGAGTGTCTCCCATAGTGACTTCATGCGTGAGCAAGTTAGGGTTTCCCAGGACTTTTCTGAACGGAGATACGATTTTTTCCGGTTTTCTAAATCTTTAGTGCCTTATGAAATTTGGCTCCAAACTTCACGTAGATCAAACCGGGCGCAAAGGTTCGAGCTTCATTTTGTGAAGCTTGCTCTTATCTATCGGTTGATACCCCACTTACTTACTTTCGTGCGCACCCTGCTGCGACACTGCATGTTAAAACGCGATGCGACCTTATTTTCCGGCACATCCTTGAATGAGTTTATCGTCGACTTGAAGCTGCAAATATAGACCAGAAATCCTCACTAAATCTTTCTCTATAATATAAGAAACACGACACCAAAAAACAATTTTTTAAAAAACAGCTAAACAGGATTTGGAATCTGCTTTTCAGAAGCTGTAGGATGATATAATTTGTGAGGTTTAGAATTTTTGTAAAGTGATGCAGTTTTTACAGGTCTAATGGTTTTCCCCCACCCTCTCCACGAGCAGAGACCCATATCTTGATGGGGCATTTCATGAATCAATTTTTTTGCATCTTATTGAGGTCAGTTAGTATTACCCAAATTTCGCAAAGAGATTTCACAGAGCCGACTACTCAAATTCAAAATTTACAGGTGTTTTCAAGCGTCTCTTATTCCTTCCTGTAAGTCTCCTTCAATACTTCTTCACTATCTCTGCGAGGTTAGAGATAAGACTCAACGTTTCTCTACAAGATGCAAAAAATGAATGATGAAATGCCCCATGCCGAGATATGAGGCTGCAAAAAACCCACAAAATCGGTTTTTCCGACACGATTTTTGTATAAGCAAATAAAATTTGAAGAGAAGGATATAGGTGAATTTCTCTCGTTAACAGCTTTCGATTGATATACAGTATGCGGGTGTTTGATGCTTCCGAGCTGCTGGAGGGGGGATGGGCAGTTATGCGTTATGACTCCCGCCCATTTTAAAGCGTTGGAGAGGCGCCGGAGGGGGGGGGGAGCACGTTAAACTGAACAGACTCGCCCACCCTCGCAGATGCAAAAAAGCATAGAACCCCTACATACTATCCATCAATCGTGTGCTCCTGGGAGTATTTATTTATTTATCTATTTATTCCTACACCCTAGAGTACGCCAAAACGAAAAAACTAAAACAAAGTAGCCATAGAATATCCGCCACACAATAGAGTTAGCAATAAAGTTAGTAATACCTCACCCATCCACACTGTAGGTAAGCTTGTGTTTAATTCGAGTCACTATAGGTCCGATAGGTGAATGGCAGCTGGGAATGCCACTGTTCATCCGAGCAAATGAACAGACCAGCAGTAAATTTTCGGATGTTAGGTATCCACCAACCTAACAATTTACTACAAGAGACAAGAGAGAATATAATAGACAGGGACAGAAGATGCAGCCTGTCAGCGAGTAGACTCCAGAAGTCTGTTCAAGTAGGGATGGGTCAAGTTACTCAAAAAAGGTAGCCGGTTAGAAACACAAACAAAACTTCCAAACGACATAATATGAGGACTACAAAACCACAGTACCGACTATGGCAGCCAGAAAGGGTTAGCCACCTGAAAATGAAATATGAAAGATGAGCAACTAATAGCTGTAAGTAAGGATGAAGAAAAAAAAATTCAAAAAATGTGATGACAACTTGCAACATCCGAGTATATAGTCTAATACATTTCCTTTCCAATTTCATTCACTCACACAAAAGTTATTTCGAAAAAAAACGAATGTTAACGTCTTGATTTCTAGTCTATTTGCAGTTTCACAACTCGACTATGAGTTCGTTTCAGGACCTACTTTTCTTGCATATCATACGGAAAAGATTTCGTAATGCCTGTACTCTCGCAGATCTGCGAGACTCAGACGGTGTGACTCAGGTTATACTAATTGAAAAATTGACTGCTTCAACATCATCAACATTGTAGTTTACACTTTACTGCCGTAGGCATCTCTCCTAACATCCATTATACTATTCCTATCGCGCTACATTTTATATGTTTGTTCTGATTCAAGTGGACATAGCTAAGCAATAAATTTTTTTTATTGTACTCCATGGATACCGACATACGAATTTATTTAAAATAGTAATTCCATACTCATCGCGAAAACATCGCTCCTCCCTATCACAATATCTTTGCAAGCATCAAATCAAACTGTCCATCATCGCCAGCCTCTAAGTATCCATTAGTGCCCATCACTTATGTGAGTTATGGTCGAAATGATATTTACAACATTCCATGATCCTCCTAAAAAATGTATTTTTCATTGGATATTTTTATAATTTCGCGTGCAGTACTTCTTCATTTAGAAATTTTTCCCCCGTTCCAGCGAAGGGGCGGGGTGGTCCAGGCTTCAGAATGAGCGGGGTGAGCTTTTACTCACCATCATCGACAGTTTCGTGTACATCTTACGGGAAGCCTTATATGACAATCTGGAAGTAGACAGCGACGAGGAGGTAGTTACGGAAAGCGTTGAACAGGATCCACATAGACAGGAGAAGATGAAGAATGTGTAGCAATGGAAAGGAGAGGTTCTATTCGTTTCGGAAATGTGGAAGTATCAGAGAGCAAGATGCTGTTTGTGGATTTCCGTCTCCTGCAAAATACAAATTTCGGTGCAGTGAAAAACGCGATAATCTATTAACTCGACAAGCAAAAGCCGTCGCCGTGCGATAGATTCAGCTTTATAACGAATATCACTTGCGAAAGTTAAAAGAAGTAGAAGGAGTAAGTAAGTTGACGGTAATCTAACCCAAAACGCCTTTTCAGTGCTTACACTTAGATGAAAACTATGAGCAGTTCGACGGGTAATGTTAAGAAGGTCTCGAAGGCATCGCGCAAAGAGGTTTTCTAAAAGAAAATAGCATATCTCTAGAAGATAATGTGAAGATAATGCCGCATTGAAATGAGATTGAACAAGAAAGCCATAAAATTGATGGCTTCCAAGCAGGTCACCTTTGGATCCAGGAGTTTAAAAGAAGCAGTTGTATCAGGAACTTTACTGCTTTCAAATCTAGGAAAAAATACCTGGACGGCGATAGACTTGCTGATGCTGCAGAAGCTTTCTTCGAGTGTTAAAGAAGGTAAATACGGTCCTCATAAATTCGAGCGCCTTCTATAGATTATGGTTTATAGAAATGACGCGGTGACCTCTGGGTGAAATTTGCAATGCACCAAAGTGGCTTTATAAAATGAATGTACACAAGTAGGTCTTGGCAATGAAGGCTTTAGAATCTTGAAGCGCTCAGTACAGTCGGGTTAGATACCACTCACTCATTTGTCGTAGTGCCTACCCTATACGCAGACGGCCGATTGGAAGAAATTTTGTGGTGATGCAAGTAGAAATTTTGCAAGTCTGCAGAAGTTATATCTCAATCAACAACGGTTTTAATAGCAAAAAAGGATGCTTTCCTGCTAGAGGTTACTTTCATGCCCACAACCTCGTACTCTAAGCGGGGGATACGCATATGACGAACAAAATGTGCTAGCGGAGCGAAACACATGTCTGGCCTCTCGGGCCCGTCCAAGATTCAGTTTTGAACTCATGGCCATCTATCAAGATTATTCTGCGATACGAGCCGCTGCTACGGGTAAACATATAAAAATAATGAATGTCCCGCCTGGAAGGACTGGCAGAATTTGAGCACTTGATGTTTACTTTTTTATGCCTTTAAAATCCATGTATAAGCATTTTACCTCTCAATTCATTGCACATGACATCGAGTTCGCAATCCATAGTAGAGACTCTATCATCAAATCTATCGCTCATATATACTCAGTTTTGTGCACCTAGGTTCAAAAATTTCTTCAATAATCTTGATTTGCTGCCGGATATCAAAGATATCCAAGGTCTTTTCAAACACCTTCAAAGTACCGTTTTGTCACAGAATCACAGAACTCACCGGAACCTGTGAAGAAGGCTGCGAAGAATTGTTTTTTATTCGGTGCGCACATTGTGAACACTTATATTGCTTCCAGCGTTTTGTGCAGTGTTATCACAAGTGTTCTGAAGCTTAATTCGTTTTGCTGTCAATGAATTTTTTAGCTAGAAAATAGTGAAATCACGAAGGAAAAGTTGCATGACTTGCCGAGGTAGACAACTTTGACGTGTATACATAATTTGCAGATTGTCTGCTAGCATTAGGCAATATTCCAAAAAGCGAGGTAGAGCACTCAAATCTAGTGCCACTGCTTCATAGTCAAAGCCACTCACTTCGGCTACCCGAACAACTGCAAGTCCGCCGCCGTGTCCCTATGCCAATTCGCGCCTAGCAAGCCGCAATTAGAAAATTTCTAACAATATTAGCAAAGGTCCGCAGCAGCCGACAGGTCGGATATGAGGTAAGCATCCAGGAACTCAAATGTCACTGCGATCTGGGATCCTTTCACAGTTAGCTCTGTTGTAGGATGACGTAATAAGACGTACCCCCCCCCTCTCCTTAGTCGGTGATACATGTTCCCCAGCTCTACATTTCTAGCAGCTAATCTCACATGATGCCGGAATTCGTATTATCACTTTACTAAACATATTCAATGTTCCATAGTCGGTGCTGTTTGAAAATGTAGTCTAAACTGCTCCATAGTCATTGCTGTTCAGAAACTACATCTTGATAGCATGGTTTAAAAGCAGTGTCCAGGAAAACTTGAGCGCATGGGTTTTCTGCCTGGAAACTGACCAGGAGGTGCTAGGTAATGCGCTGCCCAAACGGCAGCGCAAATCATTCAGTCACGGATGAGAAATCCATTCCCAAACACTCCGCGCCTGCTCCGTCCGCGACCGTAACTGGTAAGTTAGGATGGGATGGGTCCCAGCGCGGAAGTAGTGTTAAAGTGAGCGAAGTCCTCGACCGTATGACCTCGTCAGTTTCCAGGCGAAAAACCCATGCGCTTAATTTTGCCTAGACGCTGCCTCTAAAATCGTGTGCACAATGCCCCTCTTGCGCACAATTTACAAGGTGTTTATATTACAAAATCACCTTTAACAAGTTACGGTATCGGCGCCATGCTTATAAAGCACGCCATTTCAGCTAGATTCCATAACCACTGTGCTCAAAGTTTCGGATATGTCTACTTTGATATTTGATTATTGTTTAAAATAGATGGCGTGTTATCTTGTTATAGGCGACATCGTGTACTACGATGATGATGGATACACCTTTATCTGCGATCGTGCTAAAGAGTTGATCAAAGTTAATGGAAAGCAGGTTGGTTGCTGCTTCGTATCGTTGTCAAAGCTAACAGAAACTGCAGGTTTGGAAGGCGGCAAAACCTCGACCTATTTTCGGCTTACCTAGGCTATTACGCTGGTCCCAAAAGCGCAGTCTGGAGCGCGACTTTGCCTGAAAATGCGTATGGGGCGGAGTCCGCCAAGGTTTGAGACAAATAGTCACTGTGCGCCTTTTTTCATGACTGTGTGCGACATGCGCGCTTGATTTTGCGATTTGAAGCAGGGCCCGGCACTAGGTGGGCGAATGACAAGCTGGAAATCGTTTTGGGGCCAAAAAGCAAAGGGGATATCGTTTTTGCGGGATCCGGGGCTGAGCCCCGGAAGAAGATTCCAAGTGCAAGCAAAAGAAGGTCGAGTCATGCTTACCTTATACATCTAATTCATCGGAAAATAGTTTTCATAAACCACAACGCACAGCAGACTTCGCGCGCACTACGCCGCGTTGCCGCTAATTGCCGCGTGCGCGACGTCGCATAAGCGATGCCGTTGAACAGCATGATTACATGATCAGTTCTCAATGCAGGCGTAATGATATAGCACCAAATTACGTAAGCGAAAAAAGAGAGGCTAGTAGAAACAAAGCATGAAATGTTATGAAAAACTTATGTGAATGGGAGGTGTAATAAGCATTTTTTCCAAAAATTTTGCAAAACTGGTAAATGAAGATGTGAATTCAAATGGCACGTTTGCAGCGCACAGATGACCAAGCGGTATGAAACGTGGTAGGTACATGAACACGAGCCTGCAGGGTTTATCTTAGAAGTTTCATTGAAAAATTATGTGAATGAAGGTTGTGGCAAGCTTTTTTCTGAAAATTTCCCACTGTCAAGAAATTGGAAAAATGACTCGTTTGCGGCACAGAGAAAACGAAATCGCGCGAGACTTGCTGTGTATACGCGCAGTAGGACTAAGGAACAATGTATGAAAAATTATGAAAAACTTATGTGAATGAAGAGCGTGCTTAACTTTTTTCCAAATTAGGTGGGCAGTTGCCCACCTAATGCCCACCTGAGGTGGGCAAAACTTTCAATTTACATAATTTTTTCAAAATTTTTACATAAATCTGTTGTTCACCTAAACTTTACTATATGGTGGGATTTTGGTTCCGAAACTCCTCCTCTTGTCTTTGTTAGAGCCCAAAATCGCATCAGCAGCCTAGCTTTCTAAGATGGAAAGCGCGCCCCAGTCAATCGATATGCGCGGGAACGGCGTCTCTCAGTCCTATGACTGCGTTCCTTTGGTATTTTTCCTTCTTTCATCATTTTCCTTGCTTAGTCTTCTTCCTGTTTTCTATCTTGATACAGGTGAGGAGTAACTAGAGGAATTTGAGCATTTCGGGCGCTTTTGAGCGCTTTTAGGCGAAGTGTAGCAGGTGCTCTAGTTCCACAAGCACAAAGCGTCAGTTTTGGGTTCAAGGGGGTATTCGTAAAAACTATTGGGGTCAAAGGGGAATTCGTTTTGGAAAACCCTGTCTGCCCACCTCGTGCCGGGCCCTGATTTGAAGTTATTGGCTGTGCATAGTAAGAACAGAAAGTGGGGTCCATACTGCTTTCAAAGCATTTCATTGTAAACCCTTTTTTTGCTCCAGACTTTAGTCATCATGTAGGTAGGGAGCCTTCCATAACATTGTCACAAAGGGCTGTCACTTCCCACTTTGCCCAAACGCTCTACCAAACTCACGAATTCAAATTTTGGTAGATCTTGGTATAATATTAGGTTGTCAAGAAAATAATGTCGTTTTTTTTCGGGTTTTTCATGTAAAATTGATATTACTTGAGAACTAGAGCATATCCAAAGCCGAAATTTTATGGTTAAATTTACGAAGGTTTGTGGTATACAAAGACATATGTGGGAGGGGCCCAGTACTACTGGGGGCGGAGTTTGCCATTTTCCATTTTTCAATTTTTTCTTGGTTTCTAAGCATGGAAAAAATATAGCAAGTGTACCTATGGATAAGTGCATGTGTTCTTTACAAGCTGGAGCAAGTGAGAGGTCCGCAGGATTTTCTAGGGCGAAAATCCAATTTTTGGCACTACGAGTTGCTCGTATGTTTTGGCTCTGAACTTTTCGTAAATAACAAGTTCTGCCAATGTTCGGATATCATCTTGTAGAGTTTTCTTTGCTCTATCGATTGGTACCCCTCACAATGTTTTTTGAATTTGTCCTATGGCTTTGCTATGAAAAACGACATTATTTTCTTGACAACCTAATACAATAGCGAGGCCTTTACTAGTGATTGCCTAACTTTCGCTGCATAACTGTTTATCGAAGCGAGAAAAAGGATTTGAAAGATTAATGCTGCCAGACCACTACAGACAACAAACACGGTGGTATAAAAATAGTGAGCCCGAAACTAGACTTAAGGGCAAGTTGAGGTGTCGCGGAACTTCTACTGTAGCAACGTGCTTTCGACAAGTATTCGGAATCCGGTTTCGAGCTGTTCAGGTTTCGACCATCAGTTGATGGCAGTTGCAATCAGTAGCATGCTTTATGACGCAAATTTCTGGCTTCGAAATACACCTACGACACTATTGTACTTTATCAATATTTTACTCCTGAAATTTCGGTGGACAGTGCCTTTGAGGTGTCATTATGCGCGGTGTGCACAAGACAAATCTAATTCCTTTCACATAGGGGTCACATCATTGTAGCGGCGGAGCGTTGACAGGTTGCCGGTGTACTTCCTACTTAGTCTTGATTATACTAAGTGCGACTGCTTATGCTCTGTAACCACCGAATATCCCTCTTTGATTTTGTTGGCTGTTGCGTCATATTTGCTATGCTTACTGAATGTCTCTGTGCAAGCGTTAGTGGAACAAACAAAAAAAGGCGCTGAATAATCGTCACTCGTACGATGACTGTCCACTGGTCAACGAGTCCCAGGATGGAACGTGTGCAGCACACACTAGGATATGAAGTGACCATTAGCCGTATTTTAACGAACGCGATGGGTAGGTTCAACCCACGAGAGCTATTCACGAAGCTAGTGGGTTCGTGAACCCAGCATTGCTTTTTGTGAAATTTGATCCAACCCCTAGAATGTACGTACATAAGCCATTTGCGCAATCTGAATAAACCTTCAATCACCCTCCCAGCTCAAAAGCACCGCCCGTACAGATATGGCGACGACGAGAAAAACACTGCAATTTCGCTTTTGCTAAATTGTTGCGCCATTTGCTTTGCGAAGTGCGAAACTGCTTTAGAAGGTCTGATCTGGACTTCGATCTATAGGCGGCCCCCTACCCATCAATTCCGTACGCGATCCAGAGTCATATCGCACGCAGTCATGATCATTTGGTCTCACAACGACTCTGCGTCTATATGTCCAAAGTCAAAATTGAGAGCTGGAAAAGCTTTTTTGACGTTTCGTGGTCTTCATTCTGCTCGGGAATCCACGGGACGAAGAAGTCCAAGTAAGCGAAAAATTTAGTCGACATCCATCTCGGACGCTGCCTTTGAATGCTGGAAGTAAATTTTCACACACTGCTTTGAAGCACCCTTTCTGATAGTGACGTTACCATCATTTGTTTTGTTGTGCTCTCCCCTCAGAACTCTCCTTTTTTCAGCCAGTCGTATGAGAATGCGAAAAGTAAATGTTTTTTTTGAAAGAAAGCAGTCCCCACTATGTATTCAACATAAGACGGCAAAACTCTAAGTTGTAAACGTCATGTTTTGATGTGTTTAGCATCACGATTTGTTCTGGCCTTTTTATTATGTAGATGGCAACAGGTTCTTAACCTTTTTTCAACTTTTTCTGCAAAGATTTGACCTTATTCGATGAAGACGACCACTTAAGGTTGCAGCAAAAAGAATTTTAGAAAGCAGTAAAACCCTGTAGCGCTGAATCAAGTGTGGTTTGTTCTATTGTGATGGTTGTAGAGGTATGCGCCAGCTTTGTGAAAAAACCGCAGCTATCTACCATATAGCTAGAGTAACCAGGCAAGCATCGTTGTACTCAAAATTTGCGCTTCGTGAGATGAAATGAAAGATATCTTTGGATACAGACTCCTATTCTGAAGCGAGATGCAGCGAAGCGACGAATTGCGGCAAACTCTGAATGCGCGGTTTTTTGCAAATCTTAAAAGGTATTGTAAATCCATTTTTTCTTAGACAACGTCGTTCGCTTCGGACTTCACTCTCAATGCGGATTATTTGTCTGACATAATGTAGCAAGTATGACGAACTCTAAAGCAATTTAGGTTTCTCCAACAGAGCTGGAGGATGTGCTTATGGCCCACCCGGAAATAACAGATTGCTGTGTTGTTGGTCTTCCGCACGACAAATATGGCGAAGTGCCTCTTGCCTTTATCGTTGCTAAATCTATCAATGAAGAAAACATTCACGCGTATATCAAAGGTGACATTATTCTGTTATTTTCGTCACAGCCATTGACTATTTCAAGCAATATTCTAGAGCGACTTGCACCTTACAAGCGATTACGAGGCGGTATTCAATTTTTGGATACCATACCAAGGACACCATCGGGAAAGACCATGAAGAGAGCTTTGAAGGATGACTACCTGAAGAAAGTAAAACAAACGCATAAGAGTCGCCTTTGACCACATCGTATTCACTTAGAGATGTGCGAAAATAATAAAAATCTAAGAACAATTTCTATTACTTCTTTACAACGCATTTGTTCCTTTTTGATCGTTAAAGTAGCTCTCAATCGCTGATGAAAAATAGCATTCTGAGTACTCGCAACTTTGGCATACAACGCTTTTCGTCCTCGACGAAATCTAGCGGTTTCTAAATGACAGATGTTCTAAGTTTTCGCGAGGCTTTTTTGGATTGCTGAGAGACAGTCGGATTGCAATTTGAGACGCATATTGCTTAAAGTGCTGGGTGCACTGCCAGATTGTGACATGAAACGCATTCACTGTTATGAAGTTCTTCGAATATTATACATGAGCACCACCAGCAGTCTCGAAACTCAGTGTCAGGGGGTCGATAAATTTCGATTGCACAGCTGTCGCTTCAATCACCTCAAAAATGTATTCTTTCCGAACTTTGCAGGCTGTGTCCCCGAAACTCTCTGAGAAAAAGGGTGCGACTGCAACCACTTGGACCTTTATATTAGGTTGGTGCAAAAGTAATGCGTGTTTTGCAGTTTTCACTTCGACGTGCTATAACTTTCTAAAAAATCCACGTTGTTCAGTGTGATAAAGACCATGGGAGGCATCAAATATTTTTCAATACAGCGCACATCCACCTATGTTCATATCACCATGGGGCACAAAAATATGGATTGATAAGCAAAAAAGTTATTTTTCAAAACCCCGTTTTTAACTGATCATAACGCCCTTCAAAATATGTTAGTGTGGATGACAAGTAGCCTGTCTTGTACCGCAAGCCATATTACAAAAAAGTCGAAAGGTTTTCAAACAAAGAAGTTTGCAAAAAGGAAAAAAATTAATATGCAAAATTGTCCGCCTTTTTCGATATTTTTTCGTAGGCTTCAAAATCCAAAAATATGGAGATTTTTGATTTTCTGTGTACTGAATAGCTTCCACATTTCTGCAAAAACTGTCAACAGGAAGCCCACCCTTACGCTTACAGAAATGAGCAAAACTTTGGCGATTGCCCTCTTCGAAAGGAATCAGTGGGCCACAGAAAGGCCAAAACCACTACTCATGTTGAGGCGCCGAAATCTCAATCTAGGTTATTTCTAGAAAATAGTAAAGTATTCACAATGTAGACAATTTCTATTACATACAATTGTTAAATTTTTAGAAGAATACCTTCATCCGCGCTTGAATTCTGGCCAAAAAAGTAAGTGCAACGAAATTCTGGTTTCGAGTGTCAGAAATGATTATACCGTCAAGGAAGCTAAAAAAGCTCGTAAAAAGTTGTGTAGTGGAATCAGCGTGCACGAAAACCCTACTATATGATTTTTCAGGTTTTGAAGAAAATTTGTCAGATGGCATATTTCATTCCACAATGGTTCCACATGCTGGAAGATCTTACCGTAATCCTACAGTAACGAAGAGCGATCGGTGATTTGATCGATACTATAGATCTAATTTAGAGCCTCCTCTACAGAATGGTAATCGAACGGCGGAAAAAAACACAAAGGGAAGAGAGATGTTAACGATTGAAAAGTGTGCTTACTTTTACGACTCTCTGTATAATCACTAACATATTCATCCTATTCACCGTTGAACCACTTTCAAGTTTGACGCAAAATCAAATCGTTGTTATCATGTTGCATTATGGTGCAGAGCCTTAGGGAACTGGAAAGTTCAAAGCATTCTTAAATGCCACATAGCTACCAGCTGTCATTTGCTTGATGTCGTAAGCGCCTTTGTATGAACTATGTTCAATCGTCTCATACGGGCACCGAATATGTCAAATTCGACATGAGAAAAATTCTTGACCTATCAGCCATTAGAGGTTCTCGAGACATCGTTCTTATTGCTCAAATAGTCTCACAAGTCAATAGTCAGTCAGGAATATGTAATGTCTTTGAATTGTGTCCATTTTCTCATATCACAAGTAGTAAGTAGAAGCACTTTTTGCATTACTCAGACGAGCTAGAATGCCCAACCTGCACTACTTTTACCCTCCAACATATTACAAGCGAGACAAGAGAAGTAGCATACTGGACGCTGTATGCTAAGTGGCACCTTTCTCTTGATTACGCATTACTAATGCATACCATACTACCCTAGCATACCACCAGCGTTGTTTATTCTGCAATCATGCTCAAGTTCATCATGCTAATCTAGATGCAACAATTCAGAATTCTTAATTACTTGATTAGCCATGCTTACTGGTCGCAGTTAATGTGGCAAAGGTCTTTCCATGTATGTGATTCCATCATCTGCAACCGCACAACGTTCTCAAAGGTATACAAACAAGAGACGCCAGTAAACCTTTACAAGCTCTTTGGATGCTACCATCTTGCTATATTTCTTACATGACCTCTTGGGTGCTTTCGGATCCGTTCGGCACCTATCCAATATTTTCTTAAACAGTTAAGGCTTTCACACACGCACTATAAGACGAAAAAAAAATCAATACCTTCAAGCTGATCTTCGCACTGGAATCCTTCTTATCCAAGTTCTTAAAATACGGACACTCTTCAGTGCAGAATTGCCCATTTTTGTCAGTAAAACGACTTGCATCTGCAGTGCAAGTCGCTGTTGAGATGGTGCATAAGAGCAAGAAAGCAGTAAACAGCTTCATAATGCCAATCTCCTGTATCCTATTAAGTCTTTTAAGGCGTAAGGAGATCGATCGATTGCTAATGGAGAACCATCATAGCACGCTTGAGCTGATGGGACGACGAAGCATGGCAGCTTCGTCCTGCACGAGTGCTGTAAGGTGTCTTGGGAGTGTATCAGGCTGCGAGGCAGAAGGGAGGGGGGGGGGGAAGAGGGTATCTTCCTCTCTACAAAAAGTTGCGATTTTTTTAAACTGGCCTACAAGAGGTTGAATAATGCGCAAATAAGACTTCGGAGATAATCTATAATGTAATCTATTTATGCAATAAGAACGATGTCTCGAGAACCTCTAATGGCTGATAGGTCAAGAATTTTTCTCATGTCGAATTTGACATATTCTGTGCCCGTATGAGACGATTGAACATAGTTCATACAAAGGCGCTTACGACATCAAGCAAATGACAGCTGGTAGCTATGTGGCATTTAAGAATGCTTTGAACTTTCCAGTTCCCTAAGGCTCTGCACCATAATGCAACATGATAACAACGATTTGATTTTGCGTCAAACTTGAAAGTGGTTCAACGGTGAATAGGATGAATATGTTAGTGATTATACAGAGAGTCGTAAAAGTAAGCACACTTTTCAATCGTTAACATCTCTCTTCCCTTTGTGTTTTTTTCCGCCGTTCGATTACCATTCTGTAGAGGAGGCTCTAAATTAGATCTATAGTATCGATCAAATCACCGATCGCTCTTCGTTACTGTAGGATTAAGGTAAGATCTTCCAGCATGTGGAACCATTGTGGAATGAAATATGCCATCTGACAAATTTTTTCAAAACCTGAAAAATCATGTAGTAGGGTTTTCGTGCACGCTGATTCCACTACACAACTTTTTACGAGCTTTTTTAGCTTCCTTGACGGTGTAATCTTTTCTGACTAATACTGATAAGTCGGTTATTACGATTTACCTGGGATAACTTTGGAAAGAAGTACCATAGTAAAGTGGATATTTCATATTCGAAACAGCGGTTTTCATTACCATAGTATAAGAGCTTTTGGCTTGTGTGGTTCTGTTCCGAGGCAATATAGCTTTTAATGGCCTAAAATCCTTGTCGAAGTTCGCACGTTCGCAGTAATCCTGCAGTAATGAAGAACGATCGGTGATTCGCTCAATACTGTCAATCTAAATTGAAGCTTCCTCTACAGAATGACTTAAACGGCGGAAAAAAGACACAATGGGACGAGAGATAGTAACGATTGAAAAGTTTGTACTAATTTCTGAAAACCCTTTAGATGGTAATCATAACTGTGTTATCAGTGTTATTAGGGATGCATCCTATGTAGTCATTCATCATGGGAAGTCATTGGCATAAGAAAACCTGTACTCAGAAATCAAATTTCCATGCACTGCTCTTAGTATACGATTTATTACGATTTGACAAAGTGTATTCGCATTTGCTAGCAATTTCATCATCGTGAAGAATGTGCCAGAATGTTAAATGAGTAGATATATTAGGTCGTTCCATAAGTTCGTAGCGTTTTCATTTTCGTACTCATATCTTTGAGGAGCGGTTGATTGGCGGCGAATGTATATATCGTTTGATAGGGCTGATTGCGCCCTTTGAAATACATCTACTGATTGGTGGGAAGCTGATTCAAGATTTCCAAAGATGGAAATCTTGAAAGGTAAAAAGGAGCAATTTCGGCATGTGCTCCTTTTTCGTTATGAAAAGGAGCGTTTTTGAACAGATTTTTGTGTCGATTATGTAACGTGACGTTCGTTTATCAATATAAGACAAAAAAGAATTGAATTGATACAAAAGAGGAGGAGCTGAGCAGGATGTCCCTGAACAAGACTTTTCGGGGACGGCAGGACGTCCTGCACTGAAAATTGCTGGACAGGTAGGCGGCGGTCAACCACACCGTAAGCAATCCGACTGCACCGTTTAAACCAGGACCTACCGCAGAAAAAGCCTAACAGCCAGATCCAGTGAGTTTTTCTGCAAGACGAAACAACATGGCCTCATACGCGACTGGAAGGTACTTCAGTACCCAAAATACTCTCCAAACCTCGCTCTAACAGATTATCATTTGCTCTGCTCTCTGGCAAACCTCATGAACTATGCATGTCTCGATATCAGTAAGCAATTGAGCGCTGGTTAGATGACTTTCTTGGGACCCGGCTCGCTGCCGTTTAAAAATTTGAGGTTGAGAAGCTAACAAGAATGTGCCAAAAGGTCGTGCGCTACAACCAGGAATATTTGAGTGATTTTTACTGTAAATTGATGATTTTGTTGGTTTATAAAAACGCTACGAACTTATGGAACGATCTAATATACTGATTATTTCGAAGACAGCTCGCTATTACGCAATGATGTCTTATCAATTAATGTTGATCAAATCTTCTTATACAAAGACATGGTAGAAAAAATGAAACTCACACTGTTTCTTGCCTTTTTATTTTTGAGCTCCACTACAAGATGCACGTCAATAAAGACAAGCTAGAAGTGTCACTTTGAGGATAAAATGTGTCATTTGGAAGATCCTTGAGTTTCATAAAATACCATAAGAAAGCAAATTAGACCCGAAAGCTGAAAATATATGTGAAGATCAGATGGAACAGTTCAATATTTTGAGACATTGACGGCTGTTTTTATTTAGAACTCCAGTATATGCTTTACTTTGTTTTACTTCAGCACTTACAATGTTAATTCATCAAGTAGATCATGGCAAGAGCTTCGAATAAACTGACGATAAAGGATGTAAGCAAACAGCAACATATTCGCAAGATATGCCAGAAATCCGAATATTGTTTTCTGGCTTTCCATCTTTGACTGACAGTCAGAAGCAATAAATGAAAAATGCTGCATAAGGCAGCGCTACGCTTTTAGACTTTCTGAAGCAAGAATTGCGGGTGCGCCGGCTGTCTTCCATCCTTCCTATTTCGACGTTTACGATAGAAAAAAGATTTTCTTTATACACTACGCTGGTTTTGCTTTTGCCACTAATTCTATTGTATATCACCGTACTTTTTATAAAAAAGCACTAAGCAAAGATCTCCCCTCTTGCACTTTCCATCCCGATCAGGAGGAAAAAATCGTTTATCAGGGGATCCGCATGACGCGAAAATTCTCTGTCGTTGCTGTTTGTGTATGTGTATTACTAGTTTGTAGCATACGGTGTAGAATTATTAGAAAACACCCATTGTGAAAGGACTTGATGGTTTGTCATATTGATTTCCGAAGAGCATAGAGTATATTTTGCTCTCCGATCTTTGTAACTCTCTCTTGTGCTACCGGTACAAATGGATGATCTGTATTGTGCTTTGTCAAGGATGGACGCGGTGGCACCTATAGGCAATGATTATTGAATTTGATCTTGACCATGTACTTTGTACCGTGGCGGCTATAAATAAGGCCGCCCGGCCGTTGTTTTAGTCATTGTTATTGTCTGCTATTTCTAGTCCTCTAATAAATTCTTCTATTACTCTCTCTATCCCCATCTGGACATCCGCCCTCGCACTAACGACCCCGGTTAGTGCGTGACAGCTTTATATATTAATAAAACTCAAATCCTGTAAATTTGTTAGTTGGCAAGTATGTGGCTTATAAACTCCTTCGTGCGTAGACCGATGAGGCCAAAATTCGTTTCGCTATAAAGAGGCTCCGCGCAAAAGATATTGTTCTTCAATGCGAGCAGCTCCTTTTAACTGAAGGCCGCAGACGCTGGTCGCCGCTCAGCGGTCGCGCTGCTGTATTCGCGCGCCCAGGAGCCCTCCTGCTGGATGTATTGCCAAGGCGATCTCTCTATAACAAAGCGCACGCGTGGTGTCCCTTCCCCCCTCTCGCCGCGTATGTCTGAAGCCAGGAAGTCGTAAACATCATGACCAGGGTAAAGCGGGGGGTGCGGCACGCCGCAGAGGGGGGGTCGTATTGAGGAGTCAAAAGGGGAGGGGGTCGTAGTTAGGTGATCTGATTATAGCGATAACATGATATTCGTATCATATCCATAATTAGCACGTCAATTAACCCCTGTAGACAAAGTGTGAGCGAATTCTGAAGATTCAAGATACTAGGCTACCTAAGTGAAATGGTCAAATTCCAACATGGTTAACTTTGTTTTAAAGGTGAATTAGCTATCCGTTTTTGCACTCAAGACAAAGCACTACTCCTTCTTTGTCCACCTCAGGAATCCCGCTTCAGAAGACCTCCAAACTGTGGAATTAGAAGCCAACCAAAATCTCATTTTTCCCATTTTTCGCTTTTGATGGCTGTGCTTTCACCAAATATTACTCAGAGCTAAGAAGACCAATCAGGCTCAAAACATCCCTATGGAATCTACGAGGTTTAGGCTATCGATTCATATAAATATTGTCCGCTAAAAATGTTTTTTTGATATAGTTAATGGCCTGCGGCACCCCTGCGGCACCCCTGCGGCAGCCGCAGGTTTTGAGGGGGGGGGGGGGGGTGCCGCAGGCCATTAACTATATCAAAAAAACATTTTTAGCGGACAATATTTATATGAATCGATAGCCTAAACCTCGTAGATTCCATAGGGATGTTTTGAGCCTGATTGGTCTTCTTAGCTCTGAGTAATATTTGGTGAAAGCACAGCCATCAAAAGCGAAAAAAGGGAAAAATGAGATTTTGGTTGGCTTCTAATTCCACAGTTTGGAGGTCTTCTGAAGCGGGATTCCTGAGGTGGACAAAGAAGGAGTAGTGCTTTGTCTTGAGTGCAAAAACGGATAGCTAATTCACCTTTAAAACAAAGTTAACCATGTTGGAATTTGACCATTTCACTTAGGTAGCCTAGTATCTTGAATCTTCAGAATTCGCTCACACTTTGTCTACAGGGGGTATTTGACATGCTAATTATGGATATGTTGTCCATTATGTTTGACAGAGCTTTCAGGTAATACTATCTTAAGTGTATAGTTTAGGAGGGGGGTCTTATTAAGACAGCAATCAGGGGGGGGGGGGGTCGTATCCGACGGTCGAGTGCCGCACCCCCCGCTTTACCCTGATCATGACTCATCGCCATACCCCCCCCCACCCCCCATTCCAGTCAGCAGCGAGTTGGTGAAGTCATCATGTGCTGGCAATCAACAACTTGATTTTCGTAAATGGTGACGGCTAACCTTTCCTAATGTTCACTGAGCAAGCACACCCGATCTTTATCATGGACATACCGCGATGGATCAGCGCAAGCATTTCAAGATTGCTTATTCATTGAGATCATGAAAATTACACTCATGGTAACTCTACCACACAGTATCCGTTTACGTGTACAGTTGAGGCTTTCAGTCTGAGTGTCATGATCGACGTGGTTTAACTCCTCGTGTGCCCCTCGCTTGGGTCTCTCACGTGGGTTCAACACTGCATCCGATGCCGCGAAGGCTTTAGCGGATGCAGTATTGTACCAAATGAGAGACCCAAGCGAGGCGGTTCGCGAAGAGTTGAACCACGTCCACCGTGACACTCAGACTGAAAGCCCCTGTATGTCGCCATCTGTGACCTGTTGTTTTTTATCACAAATTTATTCCAATTTCTGCAAGTTGTATATAAGCGTTCTGTTATGCTCAGAATGCAAACTATCCTACCAACAGATCTCAACATATGTTAATGCACAAAATCGTCCATATCGCTGTACGCTAAATGCATGCGGGCGTGCCCACAACGCGGCTGCTTCTGTTATTTTCATTTTTTTGCTTTGAATCGGTATAGATTTCCTTGCCAGATGTAAGATACAGAGCTATTTTTTGAGGAAGTAAATGCGATGTTGGTAAAGAATGAATTTGTGAATTTCTCTGAATGCTTTGCCGATTTTATCTTTTTTACTTTCGATACTCTAGGTGATATTGAAGGGTGAAAGGAGAAAAATCAGTTATCATATGACTAAAGTTCGGAGATTGCAAAGAAATCCCAAGAGGTGGAAGGAGGTGGGGGGGGGGAAGAAATAAAGGGTATTCGGCCTTGGGAATCTTGCAATTTGACTTTATGTTGGAGGTTAACGCAATGGGGAATGGGGAATTTGAACCTTTTGCTACAAAAATCATAATCAACGAGCCTAGAGGGTCGTAGCCGGAGAAAGCTGCGACTGCGAGTCTTGCCGAAGACAGGGGGAGAGGCGGTTGTGATGTGGCACAGGATTTCGTTTTTGAAAGTCTGAGGGGAGTAAGATTGACAATGAAGCTTATATGCTGATTGACATTCAAAGCGGCCAAGGTAACGTTTCTAATCGGTTTTGGTGTAGACATTTCAGTTGGGAATTCACGCATCTTTAGGATACCTATAATCTCATCAAAGGTGGGAAGAAATTGTGTTTAGCATTTCTTGAAGAAAAATGAAGCAGTCAGAAAACGCGGGTACTTTATAAAAAAAGCCTCCCGAAAAGCAGACCATACGAAAGAGTGAGTTAAAACAGATGCGGGCGGGGTACTATAGGCGCAACGTGCCCCTAACTTCTTCTGAGGATTTGGGTCACAAACTAGCGATTAGGACCATGAGTCGTTTGAGATAAGCTTAGCAAAGCCAGGAAAACTTTTTTAAATGGTTTTGCAGGAAATTATCGGGGGAAAAGCATGCTGTGGACCGGGATGGAGGTTGGAAAGTGAGGTCGCTCAGGCTCAGAACTCACGCGTTTTTGGGATATTAACGGAAACTTTAGGGAGGATAAATACGCATAATCAAAATAAGAAAAGGAGCAGTCAGAATTGTGGGCGCTCTGTTGGGAAGTAATTCGAAAAGAAAGAAAGAGAAATTCGCTGAATGAACCGGTGAAGCTGCTATATGTGGAAGTCCGTGCGGCATTTGAAGCGGCGCGCGCATTTCAGCAAAATGTCTTTCTCAGTATTTTTCAAGAAGTTGACCTGTCAATAAATACTATTAGTGGAAGCTAGCTGCCCAATGGAGGTTTGTCGTTTGGACACTATGGGCTAACGTAACCGCCTTCCCAAGAGCAATTTTACGTTTCTCGTTTTCGGAAAATTCACATTTTCCGCAACAGCTCAAAACGTCGCCTTAATCCTTCGATGTGTGAACTGTATTGCACGAGCATCGAACACGTAAAACTTTCTGAAGAATCACTTATTAGAAGTTTGTTCATACTATTGTTAGAGAGATATAATATACTATTGGGTAGGAAAAGGTATTACGAAACTTCTGCGCTTGTCTCACTCTACACACAGCCAGACCAAAGTGCCGCGAAGCGACACTTTGGTCTGGCTGTGTGTAGAGTATATAGCCGTACGGAGATTGGCGTACTCATCTTTTGAACTCTTTCAATATCACGTTGCATTCGTTATTACCGCCGTGTCGTAACGTCCCTGGTGAGCTCCCGTAGATGGGTTATAGCAGTCGAGCGTTACATGTTTGGATTGATTGGACATTACTGAGAACTCGTTAGAGATAGTTGGATGCTAACTTCAGGAGTGAAGAGGGATTGCAGAGTTTCACGATGACGTTCCTTGGTGACGTGTGCTCAACCCCTTGGCAGCCAGCTGACCGTGATCACTTGGATATAGAGACTGACCCTCTTAGTTGCTAGTGTTTTTAATTACCTATTACGTACAGCTTAACCTGGCCCTATGATCGTTATATTTCGGATTCAGAGGTAGAAGGACCAATAAAACGCCTCATTGTTGGTGCACACTAACGCGAACGGTGTGCCTAGAATTCGGAGGTTGTGGTAGGTGCCAGAGTAAGCGAATATTTTGTTCAGCTTCGTTCAGCTGCAAAAGGCGCGCGGGATTAATGTCTGCTGCATAATCTCTACTGCTGCCAAGGCCTGCTTCAGCTGCAGGTCCAGCGCAGAATTAACGTTAATACTGTGCGCCTTTTGCAGCTAAACGAAGAAACAAAATATTCGGGTGGAGGACATTAGGTCGCCGAATTTGGAAGAGTCCCGCGCGGATTCCCTGCAGGAACGCATGTCGCGTATGTACAAGGGTGCGTATTTGTCGCAAATGACCGCGAGGACCGCCCTCTTTCGGCGACCTAATGTCCTCCACCCAAAATATTCGCTTACTCTGGCTACCCTTACCCTACCTGTGGTGCATGGCAGTCGAACTCTTGATGAAAGGTGCTGAGTCCACCGGGTCGCAACAGAGATAGACTTTATTTTCGGGGCTAGAAGTAAGGCGGATATTGTAGAACTTGTTCCATGCGATATATTCTCAAGGACAGATGCATTATTCTACATGATTAGCATAAGCTAATGTGTTATCCAAATTTTCCAAGATTCTAGAAGCTTATATGGCGCAATACCTGTACTCGAATTAGTCGCTTTCCATGGTATTTGCGTCGCATAATGTTTTTCTAGGTATTGAATTTTTTCATTTTTGGGCGGTCAAATATTCGTCTTCTAGGAAGAGACCAATTCACAACAAAAGTCTCTTCACTTGTTTAGCCGCAACAGAATGAAATTTGATAGATTCCAGCTCCATACAATAGTAACCCTTAGGGCGTTTGCTTCACTTGTGTTAATTGAGTAGGTATCTTTTATACCTTATCCTCCACCAAAGCTTCTTATGCCGTAGGTGCTTCATCCTGCGCTTGCCTAACGCTGCTCTGATTTTTGCACTACCTTAAATTTTACTTTGGCATGGCTAGTTTCAAAATTTCGTAATAGAGAAGGAGACAGTATGGAAGTAAATTTGTGAAAAATGATTTCGTGAAGCTTTAAGTCAAAAGTAATTTAGAAAGCGAGAAGATGAACCATGCCTGATTCTGTGTACAGTTGAACAATGATGAATAATTTATTGAACACAAGATATTTCTTTACTACACCGAGCAGATTTTTAATATGTTTTCTCAAATCAAAATAGGATCACATGATTGCTAGGATTTTTACATAAATGTAGAAAATTTCTAAGAAATTTGAAGCAATTAGATCTAATGGGACAGCAAATTCTTGACCTTGTGTCATAACTACCAGTTGACTGGATTAAAAATGCATGAAGTGAATAGAAAAAAATCCGTCGACAATTGAAATGCTCAAAATGGGAAAGCAATACAAAAGGGAGAACAACTGAGATAGGGGCAGCCTAGGTAAAGCTAGTAGTGGAAGTGCAATAGTAAGTGAGAAATTGAGAAGGGCTTGAGTCTTCACAACCAAATTTTCACAACGATCAGAAAGGGTTGAAAGAAAGGATAAAAAGGAACCCAATTTTTAAGCTCTGCAAAGACAAAAAATCCTTCAATTAATAATTGTTGGATGATATATGTGATCATCACCTAATAAACATGAGAAGTGAGAAATGAGAATTTAGAAGAGCAAAAGAATAATCACATCATGTGATCCGTAATCGCTCATATCACATCTTAAAGCAAAATTGAAGCATAAAACGAATATTTACATAGCCATCGATAATTTTTGGATGACCAATGAAAGTTACACGGGGACCAGTAGCAAATTGCTTTTTCAAAAGCTTGAGCTCGGGTTAGCTGGTTTCCCGTCTCGCATGAGCTACGGCTATTTGAAGGTACTGCAGCCATTCCTCTGCTTTCTTTTCGTCCGTCGCCTAAAAGTTTTTGAAAATATTCTCATTTTTATGCGTGAAAGGGCGTACGCTAACCTTCAACACAACCGACGTATTATCTGATGTGAAAATCTCAAATGCTCGTCGAAGTGATTTACGACTCTTGCGACCACGACTAAGCGATCGAACTGAGCGTATCGACCTCAAGTCGATGGCCGGAAGCAAAGTCTGAGATTCGCTCTGTAAAATTAATTTTTCTGCATGGGACCCATAGTCACGTCTTATCACCTAGTGATTGTTTGTTTTTCAAATTTCGCTCAAAGGAAGCATTATGATGAGTCAACATCTTGGTGCATATATGTACCAAAATTTTCAGGGATGGGAGCGGGATTGCTAAGGCCTAAGGCATACCTCACGCGATTCCAGTCGCTGCGCGATCTGTCACGCAAGAACTCTTCATAGCTGGAAGTAAACGCACTTTGCTTGGGCCAGACTTGCTGCGTCTGGTACAACTCACGAAATCTACGCGCCCATGCATCTAAGAGCTGCGCATGCTTAATTTGTAGACATCTTGGAAGTCGCCAAGTCGGGGGTGTGGCAATTTCGCGAAATCGCGGGAGGTATGCCTTAGACCTAAAGTGCGAACCTTGCCGTTATTGAATCATATATTTTTCCTGTTTTGGATTCACGAAAAAATATGTGGGTATAGAACAATATATCGCCTACAGGCTTCTACCCGCGCGGATAGCTGGTAGCAGCTTACAATATGTAGACAGATGCACGAATTGTTGCAACTGCCCGCACACTTTTGTGCTTTACCCGCAATACCGCATTTATGGGTTGCTCAGTGACTGTCCCAGAAAGTTTCTTTGAAGGGAAGGGAAAGAAAAGAGGGGATAGACGAAGATTGCTTACAAGGGAATGATCAGAAATCGAAGTGGCCAATCCAGACAAGCTGCTTACCATGAGATGCAGCATGAAGCACTGACTGTCTTCCTTATCTGCTTATCGCTTTTCTGGACTAAGCTATAAGCCAATAAAGGTCATTTTTTTGGGGTGCGGGAATTTATCTACCCAGAGAGGCATGCCGCCATGTAATTAGCAGGGGACATGAGAGGTCATGAACTGTCAGCAAAACTAATTTGCACCCAACTTGCACCGAAGACAAGCAGATTTTGCTCACTACAGATACGACATCATCCTACAGTGTATGAAATCGGGATTTCATTGAAATCTGCATTCAAAGTTCAGTAGTGAAATTAGTCCAACTAGGGTAAAAATTTGTATTTAGGGGTAATGTGCCATGCTGGTTCCAAATATGATGGTGGTTTTGCGTGAAAATGAAACCGAGCTCCGTGGGATTAAAATCAATGTTCAGTGGCGATATTTGGCAAATCAGAATAAAAACTTGGATTTGGGGGTTTTGAAGGGCGCTATTTACGAATATGATAACAACTTAATTGTAGTGTCTAGAATCTTATATATAAAGCTGAATGTCTGTTTGTCTGTATGTCTGTCTGTCTGTCTGTCTGTATGTGTGTACGTATGTTCTGAATAGAGAATTCCATTTCTGAACCGATCCGGACCAAACTTGGCACACATACACTACGGACCCCGACGGGTGTCATAGGCTACTTTTCGTCATCGATCGATATCGATTTTATCGATTTTTATCGATTTTTTTGCTGAGTTCACCTACGGGGCTGGGAGTTGGCACAGGGGGGTAATCGAGCATGCAGATTACGAATACAATATTAGTTTTCAAGATCGTCCATTACTTTTATCGATTTTATCGATTTTTTGAAAATTTGAGCTAGGGGGCTGGAATTTGGCACAGGGGGGTAATCGAGCATGCTGATCACCCCCAAGGGGGATGATCAGCATGCTCGATTACCCCCCTGTGCAAACTCCTAGCCCCGCAGGTCAAAATTTACAAAAAATCGATAAAATCAATAAAAGTAATTGATAATTCTGAAAACTAATATTGTGTTCGTAATCAGCATGCTCGATTACCCCCCTGTGCAAAATCCCAGCCTCGCATGTCAAAATTTACAAAAAATCGATAAAATCAATAAAAGTAATTGATAATTCTGAAAACTAATATTGTATTCGGAATCCCCATGCTCACTTCCCCCCCCCCCTGTGCCAACTCCTAGCCCTGTAGGTGAACTCTGCAAAAAAATCGATAAAAATCGGTAAAATCGACATCGATCGATAACGAAAAGTGGACTGTGACACCCGCCGGGGCCCGAAGTGTATGTGTGCCAAGTTTGGTCCGGATACGGCGGAGCCGGGTAAGCCAGCTAGTAATTTAATAATACACAGATTTTAATGATAGCTGGGAATGATTTCCAATCCTTCAAACCTAGTTTCAGCTTCACTGAATTTTTTCTTACCTTATTTCAAAATCTATTTTGCAGTTCATATCATTTTTCCTAGTCCTTCTAAAAGTAGCCTTATTTTTCATTTCTTTTCCAGTTTTATCAAAGTTGCAGTGAAATTTATGAAAAAGTCAAAGTTTCAAAAGAAAAAAGTTTTCGAAGTTTCCGGCGAAAACATTAGCATATTCGAAAACAGCATCATGAAAAAACCTCAAATCACAATTTTAAGCTCTTTGCCACATTTTGAAAACAAGATTAAAGTTCAAAAAACAAAAATTTTGAGTTTTCACGCAAAACCACCATCATATTTGGAACCAGCATGGCACATCACCCCTAAATACAAATTTTTACCCTAGTTGGACTAATTTCACTACTGAACTTTGAATTCAAATTTCAATGAAGTCCCGATTTCGTACACTGTAGGATGATGTCGTATCTGTAGTGAGCAAAATCTGCTTGTCTTCGGTGCAAATTGGGTGCAAATTAGCGTTGCTGACAGTTCATGACCTCTCATGTCCCCTGCTAATTACATGGCGGCATACTTCTCTGGGTAGATAAATTCCGTTCCTCATTTTTTTGCTAAGAAATTATGCGTGAAAATGAAAATTTAGCCGTCCAGAGCCACGTTTGCCTTAATGCTGGGCCAAAACATGCAGCTAGCTTACTTCAAACTTTTAGAGCCAGAAGCTGAGCTAAAAGTGCAACAATGTGCTCAATTTCGCTGTTTTTATGTGTGATTTTTTCACAATAAAACCGCTTGTAGCTTCGTCCACAGAAGCGATAAGCAGATAAGGAAGACAGATTCGAAGTCAGCGTTTTATACTGCATCGAATGATGTACAGCTTGTTTGGTTTGGCCACTTCGACTTCTGACCATTCCCTTGTCAGGACAAAACCAATGAAAATTTTGTGAAGATGCCTTCCAGATGCAAACTTATATCTAAACCCGATAATTCTTTCGCAACGGTAATTTGGATTTTTTCAATTTTAGAAAGTACCAAAATCATGTCACTTACCATAATTACGCGATTCTGATAGCGCATTTTTTTCCATGCACTTTGCCGCACTTTTTCTTTGTTTTTTATGTGCGATAATTTTCAAGAAATGGGGAGGGGGACTGGTTTGACAAAATCAAAATGGTTTGTTATAGAGACAAACGTAGTTTGTGGGTCTGGTAGATGCAGAGCTTGATCCAATTCTCCCAAAATTATCAAAAAAGCCTTCTTTAACTGAAAGCCGACAAATTATCTCCTATACGATGAGCATTATTAAGATGTATGGTAATATCTTATGTGGTCAAAATATAGACTATTTGTTCCTAAATATGAAGACATCAAGAGACTTTCATAACATACCGCTTGTTCCGAACTGCACGTCAGCGCTGCACTAGACAATGTGAAGTACTTGGTGTGCCAACGTCGTAAAAAACGCCATCGCCCTTTTTTCTCTTTGAGTTGGCCTTCAAGAACTCGTTGAGAGCCATCTTCAACAAATGACCTGGAAAGATTCGATATGGAATTGTAGCATCTCAAGATGGTAGAAAAAACGAACTTGACTCGGTCAGGATGCGAACAGCTGAAGCAGCTCCAGCGATTCGATGGGCCATCGAGGGAAAAACAATCAAAGAACGAAGCCTCTTCCAGCTCTTTGTAGAGCTTGTCTTGTTCCTAAGCAGACGAGATATCGGCAGGGAAAAAACAGTGTTGACTAACCTTTACAGTAGGGAAAGCACTGGTGACCAAAGTGACAAAAGCTCGGTCCTTAGTGATCCGATTTGGTAGACACTGCCAACATCTAGCCAATGTCATAAATGGAGCAGCCGATTGAGACACCACACCGCATTCGTTTTCGATAGAAGTTGATTGCATCTTGAATATCTACAGTTGGGCAAAGGAAAATGAGTCTTGCATCAAGATTTGCGCAAAAATTGTCTCAATACTAAAGAACCGGTAATTAAAGGTGCTAGATTGCATCCGCGCGCTTCGGGACCGCACCGCAGTTTCCCGCTATTTGATGGTTTTTGAATGCAGCTTACAATTCTTTATATATTAGATGTCGAAAATAACAAGGTATCACACAGCACACAAAATTTGCTTCACATATGGATTGCATTTTACTAAGTGTTAGTTGATAGCAAAGTATTACAGGGTGGCTGGAAAGATTGGCGCGTCCAACAACTTTTTTTCTTCTAAAAACGCTTCTCAACACTATTTTTTTTTATTGAAAGGAAGAAAACATGATAAGCACATCTTCTACAAAAACTGCTCGAAGCTCCACCTTTGGCTCTTACACATGCCTTCATTCGAGGCATCACTGAAGGCTCATTGCAAGTAATCTTGAATCAAATTGTTCCATGCTTCTGCAAGTTCTCGGTAAAGGCCATCCACATTCTTTTTCTTGCTTCCGAACTTTTCCTCAGACAATAAGTAATCCCAGACAGCAATTGTCGAAAGTCAATTGGATTGAGACTGAGACTGTTGGGCAGCCATAAGTCTTCAAAAATAACCCATTAGCATCTACGAAAGCAACGATTGCTTCGCTTGTGCGCAGGAGCTCAGTCCGGCCACATCCCTTTGCATTTTTGCTTCCATGGGACCAGACCTTTCGCCAGCATCTCTTTCTGATACGTATCTTCACATTCCGACCAATAGAATTGAAAATGTCCCCTCAGAGGCGTTTATCGCCGCAACCATCACTTCTTTGGCAAAAGTGTTAGAGTAACAATTTTCCATTTATAATGTTCTTCAAATCTGGGCTGAGCAGTTGCAGTGTATTAGGACTGTAGGGGCTGTGCGAACAATAAGAAATTTCAGAAAACCGCGTTTCCTATGCGGCACTCTTCGAGATGTGTAACATTTCCTCCCAATTTCTTCCTCTTATTAGCATCATCTGATAAATACTACCCTCGGAATAAACGGTAATTTCGAATGAAAACTGCACAAGCTTTTTGAGAATTTAGACATTTCTTTTTAAGGCTCGCATTTTACGAGTGTTGACAGAGGGGGGCGGCCTGGTGGTTTCTTCAGGTCAACATAGCTGTCCGGTAATCCTCTGCCAAGCGAGCCAAGATTACGAAATTACCGCAGCTTTCTGTCCTTCGCCTGCGAGGTGAGCAATTGTAACTCTGATCACAGGGATCAGATCCTCATTAGCGCATAGAAGCAAATGGACCTTGCATCATAGGAGACCCGAGGAATGTTACTACTACGATATCAAAATATCTCAGTTTACACAGCGAAAAATTACCACAAACACGTAACTATTCTTCAGCCACCCCGCAAACTTGGCATAGACCGAGAGCCCATCGGGCATCATTTCCTTCAGGTTATGAATTATAGAAAATATTAGGCTGTCCGGAAAATAATGTCGCATTGTGTTTTATCAAGCAATACCGCGGCAGGCTGAACAGGAAAGTAAGTGAATGGGGTACCAACCGATAGATTAAAGCAAGCACTATAAAATGAAGCTCAAACTTCCGCGTCAGGTCTGATTTGCGTGGAGCCAAATTTCATAAGGCAATAAAGACCTAAAAAACGAAAAAAATCGTATCTCCGTTCAGAAAAGTCCTGGGAACCCCTAACTTGCTCACGCATTGACTCACTATACCAGACACTCGTGCGCACATTTTCGTGGTTTTTCCATAGCTGGAAATTGAGAAAACGAAATTCGGCATATTTTTGTTGAAGCAATCCTGAGCTTCTCTCAAATAGGTGATTCTGTAGTACTAAGGTTTAGGAGCCTAACCATGAATTTTCAACTCAAGGATCTAGTTTTCGAGAAAAACCAAATTGATTGCAAAAAACCCGAAAAACACGACATACTCGCACTTATGACCTGATTTTGCTTGTTGTACTGTAGCCATGGAAAACTAACAAAAACTGTACAGGCGAATGTCTAATGTCAAGAGTACATGCCTGTGCAGATTGGAGTCCCTAGTACGTCTACCGACGGAGATACAATTTCTCGGGTATCTACGATTTTTTATATTTTAGAGTCAAACTCAGGTGGAGCAAGATTTCCGCGGAGATTTGTAAACTATCTTTTAGAGCTTGCTTTGCTCTATCATATGATAAACATTCGCCGTTTGCTGTGGTCACTCTGTCGCGGTAGGATGCTGCGACATCATTTTCCGGATAACCTAATATAAAGCAGTTTGTAAAGGCACATCAGCTTCTCTTTTTCCCCTATCTTTTTGGAATTTTCTCATATTCTTCTTTAGTTTTTGTTTATTTTCATGGATTTTCGTAAGTTTAAGCACTGATACGAAGGCAAGTTGGAGATCGGAGCTTTTCAACAGTGGAGATTTGCCAAAAAATGATTCAAAAAATTTAGAAAATTCAACCGGATTTTTTACGTACGACATGCACTATATATCAAAAAGCTACATCCCTTTAACTAATCTGAAAATGCGGAAAATTTTTATCAAAAGTTGTGAAATGTGAGAAATTATGTTACGACCCGATATATTTATCCTTGATACAGTTTATATGTGAAAAAATATAAGAAAATTAAGAAACAAAGTTCGGAAATCGTAGTCATTCGTAGAACCACTCAATCCACACGAATTCCTTAAAGATATTGCGATTTTCAAAATTTTGGTCCATGACTGATAGCCGATATCGATGTAATTCCTTACATAACTATAGAAGCTCGAAATTCCATGAAAACATTCACGTAATATTATGCTATCGAAAGTTCTTTACATAATTGTGCTTTTCTATAAACATGAGATATTATGTATTAGGTCGTTTCAAAAGTAATTTCGCTTTTTTCAAACGGGCACCACATTTGACGGAAGAAAGGTTTCTAAGACATCTTGGAGGCATTCGATGCAAAATTTCATTCTCTTTCTAATGGTTATGAAATTGTTGCAAAACAGTCAATGAGCTTTCAGAAAATAACCAAAATCTGCGACCCATGCTTTTTGAGATGGTCAAGTTTGACAATTTTTTAAACCTTTCATATCAATCTACAGAACGAGTTTAAGTAACGATTCGATAGAGTAAACCTTATAGAATACAGTGCTACTTTTCTCTCTTTCTCGTAGCTCGCCGTAATATTTTAAAAGAGTTTTTAACAGAACCATCGGATTTTGGCAGGCCCACCTCAGCCACAATTGCCTCAAATACATAATTATCCGGAATTTGAGACTACCAAGATGGTAATATGAGTTAGCATTAATTTTACAAAGCAGAGGAGGGTTTACGGGTTTGAAATATCAAATTTTGAGTTTTTCGGGTACAGCTTGAGGCTAGCTAAAAAAATGAATTGTGATGATTTTATCCCCGAAAACTAAACGAATCGGAAACAAAAAGCATACATTAGAAAGAGGAGAAAATGCCGCATCGAATAGTGCGCGAGCTGCTCTTCTTCTTATGTTCTACGAGGATTTGGCTGCCCAAGTGTGGAAATTGGTAGTATAAGTTAAAATTCTGTTAAAAATGTATGACAAGCTATGGAAAGGAGAAAAAAGTAGTGCTGTATTCTATAAGGTTTACTCTATCGAATCATTACTTGAACTCGTTCTGTAGATTGATATGAAAGGTTTAAAAAATTGTCAAACTTGACCATCTCAAAAAGCATGGGTCGCAAATTTTGGTTATTTTCTGAAAGCTCATTGACTGTTTTGCAACAGTTTCATAACCATTGGAAAGAGAATGAAATTCTGCATCGAATGCTTTCAGCATCTTTAAGAAACCTTTGTTCCGTCGCATGTGGTGCCCGTTTGAAAAAAGCGAAATTACTTTTGAAACGACCTAATATTATCAATGTAAACTTCAGTGGCTTTCTTATCTGTGTATAGATTATAACTGATTTTCTCAATGGTAAAAAGGAAAATAAATAAATTGAAATCTTCAAATCTCGTTTGCATTTTTTGGCACCAGATACTATAATTCAAAAAAAAGTCCAATTTCAACAGACTGAATAATGACGAGAGCAGAACAAAAATTGTTCCGCGCTCCCTGTGACCTCTGACGTTCACAGCGGTGGCCCCGCTGTGTGACCGTTCTCGTTCCAACAAAACGTTAAATAGGAAAAAGTGCAAAGTTTGCAACGAATCGGCTATCAATCACTGGTTCTGCCAAAAATTTCAACGACCAGTTTCGACAAAGATCGGCCGTCCATTCGTTTGGAATTTACGATCAATTTTAGCGGTATTTTCACAAAAGCAGCTATCTTCAAACGCCAGATAATTGACGGGGAAGAGTGGGCATGAAAATTGCGCAGTTTATGGTTTACGAAACGAACTCACCTGCAAAAACATCAAATGTAGCCAGGCAGCAGCGAATTTCGTTTTGAAAGCAAACATATAGTCATCATGGAAAACACAGTAAGCGCTATGAATTTGACAGGTAAAATGCACTATCATCCGATGCTTGGAGCCTGAAAATATAAAGATTACAAATTAAAATATCAAAAATTCACGACCATACTTTTCGATCCTTCAACTGTGCACTGGATTGGAATTGGGAATCGTGTTGATACATCTCCTACATAACGTCGAATTTTATTCCGTCGATGATCGACAAATTGCAAAACAACATCGGAACGATCAATAGATTTCTGCAATTGCACAACTTACAGATATTATCGCAGTTTGGTCGAACCGGCTGTCCAATTGGTGTCCTTGCGGTACCGACAACATTTATACGTGAACAAGCCTGCAGTAATGCCGACAATTTGCGCGTAAAATACGCGGCATTACTGGTATACAAAGTTATGCCGACAATTAGCTCTATAGACCACACATTCTCAAATTTTGCGTCTCGTGTTCATTTCACGCGCAAATGTTGTCAGCGCCGTAGATGCACTATATGGAGCGTAAAATCGCTTAAAGCGCTCGAAACACTTACTGCCCATTGTCGTTCCTCTTCCTCGCTAAGTGGAAGCATTTTTGTCGTGGTAACGGGACCAGCGTTTGCCGGGAATGTAGTTTCATACCCGGATGCCCAGTTAGCCGCTCTCCTCGTCCCTACCACCGGGCGAACTCGTCCGTCTTTGCCGATCTGAATAGAGAAACTTACTGACTGAAACTCTTAGGTCCTTCGCATTTTTATTCACTGCTCATTTATGCACTTATAATAGAGGTCAATTATTATCGGAGCCACTTGTAACTTATTGTATGGGGTTACACACCACGCGCGGGATCTCACGACTACTTATCGTTTCACACTCAGAAAACTACTGCATTGCGAAGCACTGAAAAAATGATTATTTACAACAGTTTGAATTGAATCAAAGAAACTGAGAAAAATGGTCTGAAGCTTTGCAGATTGGCTACTTATAAGCACATGAGTCGTAAATTCAAGCGTTCGTTGTGCATCGCAATCACATGACTTTAACCCTCTGACTATCCTCACCCCATTTGCCATACGTCAATCCTAATCCGAATTATGTTACGCTGTTCTTATCGTACTGCGTAACTACATAAAAAGAGAGCTTTCCAAACTAATGCCATCGATCGAGCTTTAGTGCAGTATTAAATAATTTTGAAATTCTAAAATACTTTCTCGGTCTTTTCTAGCATTATAAGCTGAGAAAATTGGAGAAATGACCAACAATAGTAGAAAATTTCCCTGACAGTGATTGTAATATGAAAACTATATTTTGAAGGAAATTCCATGGTGCAGAGTTTGAAAGCAATCAATATTGGGGCTTTTGTAATATACTTTGTTCAAATGAAAGAAAGTGAGAAGCCGAAAATAATTTGAAAAAAGATTATCAGTTACTAGCTGGCTTACCCGGCTCCGCCGTATCCGGACCAAACTTGGCACACATACACTTCGGGAACCGGCGGGTGTCACAGTCCACTTTTCGTTATCGATCGATGTCGATTTTACCGATTTTTATCGACTTTTTTGCAGAGTTCACCTACAGGGCTAGGAGTTGGCACAGGGGGGAAGTGAGCATGGGGATTCCGAATACAATATTAGTTTCAGAATTATCGATACTTTTATTGATTTTATCGATTTTTTGTAAATTTTGACATGCGAGGCTGGGATTTTGCACAGGGGGGTAATCGAGCATGCTGATTACGAACACAATATTAGTTTTCAGGATCGTCCATTACTTTTATCGATTTTATCGATTTTTTTGTAAAGTTTGACCTGCCGGGCTGGGAGTTTGCACAGGGGGGTAATCGAGCATGCAGATTACGAATACAATATTAGTTTTCAAGATCGTCCATTACTTTTATCGATTTTATCGATTTTTTGAAAATTTGAGCTAGGGGGCTGGAATTTGGCACAGGGGTGTAACAGCATGCTGATCACCCCCCTTGGGGATGATCAGCATGCTCGATTACCCCCCTGTGCCAAATCCCAGCCCCCTAGCTCAAACTTTGCAAAAAAATCGATAAAATCGATAAAAGTAATCGATAATCCCGAAAACCAATATTGTATTCGGAATCCCCATGCTCGATTACCCCCTGTGCGAACTCCCAGCCCCGTAGCTCAAACTTTGCAAAAAAAATCGATAAAATCGATAAAAGTAATCGATAATCCTGAAAACCAATATTGTATTCGGAATCCCCATGCTCGATTACCCTCCTGTGCCAACTCCCAGCCCCGTAGCTCAAACTTTGCAAAGAAATCGATAAAATCGATAAAAGTAATCGATAATCCTGAAAACCAATATTGTATTCGGAATCCCCATGCTCGATTACCCCCCTGTGCCAACTCCCAGCCCCGTAGGTGAACTCAGCAAAAAAATCGATAAAAATCGATAAAATCGATATCGATCGATGACGAAAAGTAGCCTATGACACCCGCCGGGGCCCGAAGTGTATGTGTGCCAAGTTTGGTCCGGATCGGTTCAGAAATGGAATTTTCTATTCGGAACATACGTACAGACATACATACATACATACAAACAGACATTCAGCTTTATATATAAGATTAAGATTATTAATTATTTTTTTCTGTTGTCATCTTCACAATGGTATTTTTTCTATAAAGTTTGAATATAGTCATACTGTCCATTAATCAACAGAAAAGCTTAGAAAATCTTAGGAGTTTAGGAAATCCTGGAACCGCTATTTTTGAGCTACACTACTTTTATGATGCCGTTACCTGGATTTGAGTGTTTGGAGCGAACCCAGCCGGTAAAGTTTGCGTTTTGGGTTGAACCTGAGACGATGCGGCTGTCGACGACGCTGTCACCGACGATTGGGAAAGATCTCTGGATCCAGCATTTTCACTTGTTGATCGCATACTGTAAGGAGAATAACATCAACATGAAATAATTCTAAATGTGAATGAAGAAGAAGAGATCAGTGAGCGAAAGCGGGAGGGGGGGGGGAGGGGAGGAAGGGAGGGATAGAAACATCTTGTAATCAATGGTCAGAAAATAAATGGCTTCCATTGCTCTTTTAGATCTCAATCGGTCTTGGTAAACAATTTTCGTTTTTCCTTATTATTAGCCTAATCTGAGCTAATTGGAGTAAGTGTGTACAATGCACTACTGCTACATGATTCCCTAGAAAGAAATTCAATCAATTATTTATTTAATTTCCGCCCTGCCAAACAAAATAACAAATTAGTGCAGGGCTCCGCCGTCCCAATACGCCAAAATTGTCTTGATTGAGATCGAGAGAGATTTACTAAAATTTAGGGAGAATTTTAATATAAAAGGCGAATAAGTTTGGCGATTTATGTGTGGACTTGCTGTGCTGACAACACTTGCGCGTAAGCAAAATTCCCATGCCTATAACGCCTTCGCATACAAATGTGCCACGTGCGCGTATTCCCGGCTTTTGCACACCGCGGACATCTTTTCACGCGCAAGTGTTGTCTTCACCGCAGACGCACATATGAGGTGTCCGTTCTATTAGCCTACCTACCCTTGCAATGAATGCGATGCACTGCCATGTCCAGCTCGTCTCGGCAAAGATCCACTGCTTCTGTTTTGGTATTGCATAGCCAACGAATGCGTGTTTCGGTCCAGTTCCAACGCCGAACTATCGGCCGGACTTTCACATACGGGAAAAACTGTTCTTGGCCCACTGTAAACAATACGACTTGAGTTGTAAGCTTTGAAAAGGTATGAAATGAAATGCATGCAATGTTTATATAAGGATAAAGGATGCAAAGGTTGCTAATCCAAACAAGGCTTAAGAGAAAAAGATTGTGAGCAAACGGATCGAGATTTCACCCAGAAGTAGAACAGGCTGAAATTCTGAGAAGATGGAGTTAGAAAAGAATGAAAGAGAGATAAAATTAGGAAACAAACATCTGTACAATGAATAGTTCTTGAAGTGTTTTGTAAAGAAGGAGAAGGACTATAAGAAAAAGGTGAATAGAGGCTTAAAATTCATCTATTTCTTTGAGAACAGATTTTGACATTACATTTTTGAGAAAGAAGATAGCTATTATTCTGCTATTAATGGAATGCTCCATCATAGTCGACTCGCAGGTCGCATTGATAGCCACAACCACGTGAGGAAGAGTCAATGCCTTTAAGTCGTGGCTACTAACGCCGATGAGTCGCGGCGCATAAGCAATTATTTGCTAATGGATGTGTTCTTATGAATTTTTAAATGCGCAGACAACTCTGCACTAATGCTCTAAGTTGTAGCACTATCTTGACAGCGAAATCGACTATGATGCTACCAAAATTTACTTACACCGTAACACGTCTTTTTCGTGTCGCGACCACTTTAGCGGACCTATAATTTTGGTATAATAGGAAACGAGACAATGGAGAAAATTCATTTCAACAGGAATAGGATATAATGCGAAGAAGAAGCACAACGATGAACATGATTGAAGGGATATATTTAGAATTCAAATAAAATTGTTCGGACCCTTGCTAAAAGATGGACTCAGCCACAAATTTGCTCAACTTGGAGCCAAGGACTTCAACATGACTGAGAACGGAATGCCCACATAAGTAATGATTCATTGAGGATGAAAATTTCAGGATCACTCAATAACTAAATTCACCTCGAAATGATCTGTGATCCATTAGGCCTCGGATAAATTTTCGCTAGTAAGGAATCGCTCGAGTTCTTCTCGCCATTAGCTATCGAGATCACCGTAATGTCACCATTCATTGATGGACGTGTAGAATTGCTGAAAAAAAAAACTCATCCACGACATGAATATCGATCGAAGTATTTTTATAAATATCGATCAAAGTGCTGGGAAAAAAATTAGAGCAAAAAAGAGTTTTAACAAAATGCTATAGCAAGTAACAATTATCATGAATTATCAGGACTAGATAAAATCCATGTCTTAAAAGGACCGAGTTGAAAAATGGCGAACAAACTTCGAGTTTGAGGAAAAAAAGCAAAGTTATAGCATTTTCCAAAAAAGTGAGTTTTTCGAAAACCAGGAAGTTGAAAAAATCGATAAAAACGCCAATTGTAAATCTCTTTTTTTCTTAATTTTGCGAATAACTGAACGAAGTCAAAGAATTTTTACCACCCATCAAAACAGCTATACCCCCCCCCCTTGTTCGGTAAAAGTATAAACTTACCCAACTAGAGCGAGAATACGGTCGATAACGCGCTTATTGTAACCTCGTCCGATCGCTCGCAATGTCTCAATGTATGGGCGGAGCGCCGTTGGCCACGCCTCTCCAACACCTGCAATGTGCATTTAATTGGAACAACAAGCTTAACTAGTAAATAGAGCAACAAAATGGAATTTTCAAAGGGTGGGAAGTAAAGGGAAGAAATGAATTCATCGAGGAAAACTTTGATTTTCTTGAGTGGGAAATTTTGAAAACGCGCAAATAGAAATTTCAGACATTGTTAATAACCTAAGTCCCATGAATGGAGGTAATAGCTGCACATACCATTCTATGGACCAGCTACCTATACCCTCTCCCCCAAATAAAATCAAACAAGTCCCACTGATGAAAAACCCTTTTTATCGGCGACTATAACAATGTCAAATGAGTCATATATTCTACAGAATACCCCTATAATTATATGTAATAATGGCTGATGATGGAACAATGCAAACAAGTTTTGCTGATCTAGCACACAAACTGAATGATTCATTCGCTAGGGTCTAGACAAAAGTGGAACGAATCGAAAAAAAAAAACACATCAAAGGAGAGATGGAATTGGGAATCGATCTGAAAGCTAGAAAAGGAAAGAGATAGCGCAGCAAGAAAATTTTATCGGATCTGTGGTTTAAGATTCATATTTTCATATTTCACTTCTAGAAGAACCAAAGAAGCTGAAAGAGCCGACCGATTTCAGCACAAGGAAAAGCCCAAACGTTTACTTGATAAAATTATTTTTTTCTAATGACGATAAAAACAGGTACATTGTTACCACCACCTATAGATTCTACCAAAATCGGAGAAAACCCATTATACAAAAAACGCCCCTCCCCTTCTTGCAGTAGGTTATTTACGTCGCCAAGCGAAATTGCCCTAAAAATTCCAGGTTGATATGAGCTGCATCACAATTCTTGAGCCGTAATCTTTTTCAGCCTCAATGAATATTTTCTGACTGATACTTTGAAAAAAAAATTTTTTTACTTATCTATGTAGTGAATACGAAGATGCGCCAGAAAAACGAAAAGAAGAGCACAAAAATCAAAAATCACCCGCTTTCAAGCTGATTGTAGATTAGAAAAACAGTGTTGTCCTACTTATTTCTTTTTTTTTCGATCTGAATTCAACTTTCTCTTAATTAGATAGAATAAAGCGCTTGTTTTGTACTAAAAAAGTTTAATGTAAGTTTTCAAAATTTTCTGTAATTGCACGTAATTTTTACAAATACTGGTGTAAGACTTATAGGACTAAACTCAATGTACAAACTGGAGATTTTTGATATTTATGCATGATGTGACCACGGCTCGGCAGTGGCTTTCCGAAATGCAAAAAAACGAAGCCGTTTTGACCCGAAACATTAAACGCTAAACTTAAACCCCCCCCCCCCCCCCAAAAAAAAATGTCCAGTAAAGAAACGTCGCCTAACTTGTGCTATTTCGGCCAAAAAAACGATATTCCCTTCGCTTTTTTCCCCAAAAACGATATACAGCTTGCTTATAAGCCACCTGTGCCGACTTCTGGGTGTGACTCCGCAAACAAAATAAGAAACGGGGTAAGTATACCCTTCAAAATTAAAGTGTGACCATGTTCTTTTCGAGTTCAGCGTCATAACGAAAATATGATTGAGCTGGTTTTTAGCACTTCAAATCTTGAATCATTCCATATAAATTGCTTTTCAAGTCAGTCGATACCTTTTTCCCCAACTACGTCTGAATGAATGAGAAATGGGGAAGCATAAGGCGTTGCCACATTTAGCATCCACTTTTCGTCTCGTTCCATACGTGCTCATTAAAAATGTCTCAGTGAGACTCGCTTACGAACCTTCAATTTCCGTAAGAACCGACGATAACAGCTGCTGATCGTCGATGTTTTGTGCACTTCGAACGAGTTCGTCGAGGACATCGCTTGCTAGTGGAAGTGAGACTCGTCCGATATTGCCCATAATCTGCAACAGAACGAGCGCTTGTCATATCTTTACTGCCATCGAGCGCAATCTGTGCGCGGTAGCATTACGATTCGCGGAACACTCGCGTTCCTTTTCCGTGTTTCTTTTGAATTCATAAAAATGCTCGCTGAAGCTTGCCAATGCAAAAAGTATCGCTCTCGAATTCGGCGCAATGTATCGGAATCGAAAATGATACTAGTGCAAAAAAATCGCCGAAAACCTGCGCAATCATATGTTGGGGGCGAGGGAAGCTCGCTCATATTTGAGGCAGAAAACAATAGTTGGTGAGGGTCATAGGACCATTTGAAATCCATGGGCATGAGAAAAGAACTTTATCAGGTTGTTCCAAAAGTGAACACCTTTTTAAGTAACTCAGGCTGTTTTTCTTCTCCAAAAAGACTTAGGGACCCGTCATACTTCGCCGAAAGAAGCCCAAAAAATCTCGAAAAACCCAAAAAAGCCCAAAGAAGCTTGAAAAAGCCCAAGAAAGCCCGAAAGAGCCGAAACGCCCTTACCGTTTTGAAGCTAAGGCATGTGTGTTGGTTTCGCAAGCGGATTTTTGCTTTATTTTCTGTCGTCTGCACAAAAAATAATGTCAGAACAATGTATAACAATAAAACAATGTATTAATATTATATATATTAATATAGTAATGTCAGAATTCTACCAAAAGTTCGATTCTGCGTTCCGACTCTTTCGGTCTTTTTCGGGCTTTTTTCGGCTTTTTTGGGCTTTTTCGGGCTTCTTCGGGCTTTTTGGGAGCTTGGGCTTTTCTCGGCGAAGTATGACGGATCCGTTAGGGTATCATTGGATAAAGCGGATCAAGCTACAAAATAAACATCAAAGATCCACCTAGGTCGTAATCCAGGTAAAATTTGGAGCTGAAAATCAATATTTCAGCTATCCCAAAATCGAATCTTCTTCCAGAAAATTTCTATAGTCTTCTAACTTGGTCTTTGTATAGTGGACATACTGTAGTACTCAAATATGCCTTTACTGGATTTTCTCCGCGCAAAGAAAGCGAGAAAAAAAGCTAGTCCAAAATCGCAAACTCCGCTCCCAGCCCCTCCCACATATGTCATTGTATACTACAAGCCTTACTAAATATAATCTTAGAATTATACCCCTGTATGTGCTCCTATAATCGAGAAATACCAAGTTTTACATGAAGAACCCGAAAATCTCATGAGTCCAGCAAAAAAACCAAATACCTTTTTGGGGTGCTACTATATATCCCTACACAAAGACCAAGTTAAGATATAGGAATTTTCTGGTAGGAGATCGATTTTAATGGTAGCTGAAAAAGTTTGACTTTTGCCTCCAAATTCTAACTAAATTACGACTTAAGTGGATCTTTGATGGTCCTTTTGTAAAGTTTGCTTCGCGCTTTCGAATGGTCCTGGAAGACAAAAACAGCTCAATTTATTTGGAAATGAAGTTTGCTTTTGAGACAACCTAAGAGAATTTTGAGGAATGACGAAGGAATGGATAAAATCGGAATAAATGAATGAATGGACCAAAAAATAATGAATGGATGAAGGGAGGAGAGTGATTAAGAGGTGAAATGATAACCTAAAAAATGAATGAAAAATGACAGAAGCCAAAAAGAAGAAATAATGAGCGATGAAAGAGAGGATTCAATAAAAAGTAGAAATTTGAGTGAATGGAATGGATCAGTAGGAAAAGACGAAATGATTGAATGAGAGCTTAACTAGGGATGAGCGACTCGATGACGGATGGAATGATGGGAAATGATTGAGTTGTATGAAGAAGTAAAGGTCTACTTGAGATGGGACTCAAATGGTTGCGTGAAAGGTCAGGGGATTGATCATAGAAATCAAAATTTCGGATTCAAGATTTGATTCTTGAATTTTTTTTTACAATAAAGAATGAGATAAGAAGAATATGAAATATGATTTGGGAGACTTAATTTCGAATAAGAACGGGATGATTATGTTTGATAGTTTAACTAGGATGAATGAGAGTGTGAATGATTGAGTAAACAGAGCGTATCTCGCTCGATTGGCGTAAACTAATATGAAAATCTTCACAAAATGATTTTTTTCAGATTTTTCAGATTTTTTTTGCCAGAAATCCATCACTTGCAGACTGCAAATGCATGGTGTGTATACCGCGCAGGGCAGCCGAAAGTACATATGGGCCTCACATTTTTTATTCAATGATTTTTCGTAGAAAAGAAAATTCTTTAAATCTATTTTCGCATGCCAAGAATACAAGCATCTTAGTGTGTTACTCGTGCAAGACTGGATTCCTGTACATGTATTCAGACTTCAGCAGCTTATCTTCAAGTTGATACGTCAAAAAATGCTATTTGAAAAATGTACCCATTGCAAATTCGTTGAAATAATCCGATTACTGATCGAGTAGATTCTAAGACCTGGAGTTTTGTGGAACTCACTCCGAGGAATGACACAATGCCGTAACAGCCAAAAATTCTCCTCTCCAAAATAAACTACGGCACTATAAATATGGTGCTGAATGAAGTCTCCATGTTCATACTTATAAACAGCTGGAGTATTGCCAAATCGCATAGAGGCCAAGATCTTAAAGTGTGTCCAAGAAAAACGAGCAGGAATGACTGAATGAATGAGCCTAACGATGATTATTGAAAATTATGACGAATTTGATAAAATCAGTGAAAGATGAATGAGATGTTCAAGTAACAAATGCAAAAAATAAAAGCTGATTGTTTGAATGAATATAGACAGGAAGAGAAGAAATCATAAACCCTCGAGTCACTTCAACTCAATATGTGAGTCTGCATACTATGCGCGGCAACTGACGACACCTTACTAATATCTTCTCAGTGAGATTATTTCTAGTGTTACAAACGTAGATGTATGTGCTACTGACTGAAACATGTCCAATCAAACCAAGAGAGAAAAGGAAACAAGTGAAAATCATTGAAAATGATCAGGTTCTAGATTTACGAGTCGTCAAGTAGCGCACATGGTGTGCAATACACATTTCAGCTTACAAATGTTTCAACGACAACGTTTTGACTTTCTTAATACCTTTCTCTTCAAAGAATAAAGAGTTTGTTTGTAGCATTGAGTAAGTTCACTTTTTGCACTTTTTCCGCGTATTTTTCCTACACAACTATTATGTGATTTTAGATTATGAAAAACTACCGTACCTTATGAATCGTGGCAAGATTCCCGCTAAATGCAGGCATTTGACAGGCTTGTGAAAGTGTCGGCAAGAACGGAGCCAACGCATGGGCTCGACCTTGAGAGATAAGTGACATGTAGATGTTGAGCACAGCAGTGCACGTTGAAGGTAACAATAAATATTGATCGAATTGTGGTAGATGAGGGATTAGAAGCTGAAAATTTGTATTTTAGTCAAAAATAGCCATTCAAAGAAGTTTAGAATAGTATTCGACGGTTAATACAGTTTTCTTGTAAAGCTGACAGCCTGCGCGTACACAATTGATTTTCGCGCGCAAGTCGCAAGCGAATTGGCGGCATTTGGCAAGCACAGTTTGTTTCCGCGCAAATGTTGTTCTCAACGCAGGGGCACTACATTTACCGACAACTTACTAGCCTCCACTCATAAAATGACTCACATCAGGTTTTTCGTTGGCAATCATACTGGCTAATTGTAGAAGTGATAGTTTTTCTGAGCAATCCGCATCTCTGAGCACTGAGAGCAGTTGAGGAATATGGGCATGGAAAGGTTCACGATTGTCTGCGTAGACTTGCGGTAGAACCCGCAACAGCGAGAGGTTCCCTGGAAATTCAAGATATTGAACTGGGGGCTGGATTTGATTGAAAATTAGCCAGACTAGCAAATGACTTTCCGCTAATGACATCTGTGGATAGAAACTAGCTCTATGGAGCTTTCGGAATCATAAAAATCGAGTCGCTACTTAACGCTTGGAGAGCAGCATTATCAGCTTTGTCAGAAGCATTACGGGGTTCCTTTAGAAAGAGTGAAGCTCATGACCTTCTGATCAAGAAAAGGAGGTCCATAAACTGACTGCAAGGGTTTTTGTGAAGGATAGTATGAAAGGCCACAATGGAAAAGAATGAGTAGGGGATAGGGAAGTCGATGCTAGGAGATATGGTAAAAATAAAATAAAAGATGTTTCTGAAATTTGATTTTTTGTACTTGATCTTATCACTTCTTCTTTTGACTTGTAAAGGAGGAAGATGATGCATGGATGAAGAAAAGGAATTTATTCACTTTTTTTCTGTCAAAATTACCTGCGACAAAAATTATCTTCACTCTAAACTTTCAGACACGTATAGTAAGTCTTCCACATAATCTCAAAAGCTGTGAAGTTCACATATTCAAAGACTGGATTCCTCACAATGAGACCATCCATGCAAAACCTTTCGCAAGTTTTCTGTTGTGCCTGTATGCTATCTACTCTATCAACAAGGGAAGGATGGTTACTCAAAATAGCCTTTCAGTATGATATACTACCTTGAAGGGCATTGTACACTAATTCCAAATCTGAAATCCCTATCTGCTGCGGCTTTCTGAGGGAAGAGTTATGATGGTTTTCATGAGCATAAATTTCGATGATTGATGTAAAATCAGTCGTTAGCTGCTCTTCGCTTCAAATGAGACAGAGGAGAACGAGTACAAATCACTAATGAGAATATTTACACCAGCAATCCAACAATCCCTCAAGTCCCAGGAAAAATATTAAGACTGATTATGTCCTAGCTGCGTATTCAATCTTTTTCTTCAAAAACTCTCAAAACTCCCAAATCAGAGACTCGCAGCAGATGAGGAAAACAGATTTGAAATCAGCGTTGCATGCCTTCAAAGCTGTATAGATAACATTTCAGAAGGCCACTTTGACTAACCATTCTATTAGGCTAACATTTGATAGGTAATATAATAGTATGCAATTCGCTAAAGATAAGTACTGACCCACAAAAGCCTGCTGGTAATACAAGGGCCATATAAAAATCACCTGAGAATTTTCAAAGCGTTAACTTAGGGAGAGTGTAAAAGTATGGTAAAGTAAAGACAAAACATTTTTTTCTAGGCAACTGGTCTTGCTGCCAGTCACTCAAAATGCACTCTCTTATCCTTTTTTTTTGCATCAAAGGCAGCGGCTCGGGAAAATTGCAGCTGTGAGCTTTCTATCCCTCCTTGGCCTTCTGGATGCACTGGGCCCAGAACTGTGCTTGAAAAGAAAAAAAGTCCTTTTGCGGTGTTTCCCGGCTTTGGAGATTGTTTAAGGGGGTGAGCGATTCTCGCGTACTAAGACGCGATTGGTTGCTTGAGCCAATTAGCCAATTGCCGCCAAAATAGGTGGAGTTACAGTCTCTCGCAGCGAGTCGCTGTTTTTGTCGGGAATCTCTTATCTAGCCCTCTAAGCGTGGCCGGAAAACGACATAAAATACACTTTTTTGACTTCAAAAGCACAGTCTCAGACTCAGCCGATACAAAGGACCAGATAGTTGTGGAAAGCGCGCAGTCACAGTTTTTGCGAGCCATCGCCTTCAACATAGGTAGCAATTATCATTCTTAGGTTAAATGCTTGGAGTTAAGATGTAGCCTGTAGCACGCAAATGGCCAATAACCTAACTAAGGAACTTAGAATTCTTAATCTTTGTGACCAGACAGCTTGATTAATACAGATTGTGATTGTATGCGCGTAAAGAGTCAATGACGACTAGGGCGAGGAGTTAAGAAGGATGGAAGGAAGGATGGGAAGAGATAACGAAGGATCGCGGGGGTTATAATGTCTATTCAAATATATTGGATATTTTTCGATGACAACCTTTCCAATGTCAAGACTAGCTTATAATCTGAGAGTTTTTGCTCAGATCAAGTTTTTCTCAGAAGGACTATAAAATGTATTCTCCCCTTGAAAGCTCATGATGAGGCACTACTCAAAAAATTGATGAATAGTTGGACTAGCAATATGATAACAACTCCCAAACTCACCGTTGATGATGTAGGAGATGATCTGCAAGGCGTAATGGGACAACGCTTTGCCGTTGTGGATAGCTGCCAAGGAGATGTAGCTAGTGGTATTCCTGACCAGTTCCTGATTCGAAGTGCCTACGGCTTTCATAGCCACCGGAAGGGCTAATGTCATCACTGATCGTTTTGCATAGTGCTATAAATGAAGAATTTCTGGAAGATTTTTAAATCAATACAATGTTGAGGAAAAAGTAGAGGTAGGAAAAAATTCATGCAATCGTATGACCATCCATTTGCACACTTGTACTATGAAAGCGGTAGTAAGATTTTGGAAGCTGTGGAGTCGAGTTGACATTATAGTCAAAAACCATGATGTCATTATGAATGCAGAGAATGCAAAGCCGAACAAGTATCAAAAAATTGTGCAATTACACAAAAAGTGTCAGATGACGGTCTGTAAAGGGTTTTTGCAAAACAGCAGGGCTCAAGTCCGACGAAAAGTTTTTGTCGCGCTAATGTTACAATTAATTTTATTCAACTTTTTTTTTCAATCTGAGCGATTGAAAACATAGCGCACAAGGTACCACAAAAAGCTACTTTTGAAAAACCCTCCCATGAAAATCAGTGCCGGCGATGAGTACCTAAATTCCTTCATTCTGAATGAAAGGCTCTAATTTGACTAAGACATTGCTCCGCCAGCTCATACGAGTCAATCGCGGGCGATAAATTCGCCTTTGAACTTTTGCCCAGTACCGTATCTTCGAACGAGTACGGTAGTGGGAGGAAGTTCTGCTTTGCTTCTCTTAGTCAGTAAATTATATAAGCTTTGAACAGCTTCGTACCGGCATAGATAAGGTCTTTGAATGAGTAGGTGGTATGCTGGCAATGGGCTTCGCGTTTGCGGACAACTAGTACGAGCTATACAGTTGCGAGAGCCTCGGTTTGTAACAGATATCGGGGCGGAGCCAACTGACGACGTGACTCCTCTGCACCTCCCGTATGCAAGAAATTTCCAGATATGTACTCAATGCTTGGACTTTGCCTTTTTCATTTTTTTCGTTGTTTAATTTATCATCCTCAGGAAATTAGCGGATAAGCCGTAAATGCTCGGTTTAGCGGGTTAATTCAACGTCAGTACAGTACAAACACCCACCAAAAATAGACTGCTAAGCAGATCGGAGGCGATTTTACAATGCGGTGAATCAACGAGCTCTCCGTCCGAGTTCAACACCGTCATCGGATGATTCAAACAACTATCGAGTACATCGACCAATTCAGCCGAATACGTCTCAATGCAGCCAGTTTCTCTGCAAGAAAAATGTGGCCATAAATCTTTAGAAAACGAGGAAGGACGTCAATTCGTGGTGCTCGGATGGTCTCACCTAATTGCTGCTGTAATTCGAGCGATGACAATTTCGACAACACTCTGATCGACTCGTCGTTCAACATAGTGAGGGGTGTTAAAGATCTCCTTGAGACGACCGAATGCTGTGTGCTGAAAAGAATCGAATTCAGATATATTTTCTGTTTGATTTTTGGCTTTTCAGTGGTGCATAATGAGTGTATACATAAAAATAAAAAATAACAAAAAACATTGAACATGCACTTTGACTACAATTTAGTGCTTTATATGAGAAAAAAGTTGATTTAATCTTCTATGATCGATTTTGTGGAAAAAAAACACATAGGTCATCGGAATTCGCGATTTTTGCATCGCCACGATCAGCCTAAATTCTCAACCCAGTAACTCAAAAGCTGCAAAAATGCGGTAAATCGATTAAAAAAATAGGTATTGTTAAAAAAGGCTATTGAGCAGCACGGTCGCTAACTCCCTTATATCAAATCCCACCCCGGCATTCAAAAATTGCACAAAAATCGATAAATCGATTGAAGTAATACGTATTGTAAGAAAACTTTTTGTATTCGTGATCAGCACGTTCGCTTACCCTCTTGCACTCACTCCCAGCCTAGTAGCTCAAATCCTGCAAAAAATCGATAAAATCGATATCGATTGATAACGACAACTAGCCTACGACACCCTCCCTCCACCAAGAATATTTAAAAGTTTGGTCCGGATTGGTTCAGAAATGGGATCCTTCTCAGAACATAATACAAACAGATAACAGACAGACATTCAGCTTTATATATTGTTCGAGTACGGTAGGCTTACGGTAGGCAGTTATCGCTAATCTTTTCAAACTTTTGTTTACGGTTGATTATCCAGTGCATGCTGACTGCAGCACGTACATTTAGCTGCTACTCGGAACCGTCTGCCTACAATTCACCTGCAATACCCAAACAGGCAGTTCTATGTCCTAAGATTAGAAATTCAAAATTCACCCACTCTTGGTTGAAATGTAGCAGTGCTATGTACGACCGCAAACTCCATCATTTGCGTCTATTTTTTCAAATTATCGGAGTACTGCAAGTGCTTATTAGAAATAATTCTATATAAATAGCATTTATTCATTTTTATTATAGTCGCCCCCCATCGCAGTTTACAGCTGATAGACGATTTTTCAAATCAGAGCACGGCGCTCCCAGCTTACAATTTAATCTGCCTCGAATGGTGCCATGCCCTACAGCGAATGGCTTGCTCCAGTTCAGATTGTCCAAAGTTTGTCTACCATGCTGATGACGACTGTGAGAACGCTCTTCATCGAACAAGGAATGTTCCAATGGAATCGCTACAAAAATTTGCCAGAAAACGGGCATTTTGCGACCAAAAAAAAGAAGTTATTGTGTAAGCACATAAACTGTCATAGAAAATACTATTCATATTATTCAATGCTTAAAATAACTGAATCAGATAACCAAAAATAAGAGAAATCAGACGCAATATATATTTTTCATGTCAAGGAACTGTAAGTAGCGGCTAAAATTATTTTGAAAGACGTTGGAACCAGGGCCCGGCACGAGGTGGGCAAACGGGGTTTTCCAAAACGAATTCCACTTTGATCCCAATAAATTTTACGAATACCCCCTTGAGCCCAAAAATGACGTTTTGTGCTTGTGCGACGAGATTACCGGCCACACTTCGCCGAAAAGCGCTCAAAAGCGCCCAAATTGCTCAAATTCCTCAAATTACTCCTCAGCTGGATCAAGATAGAAAACAGGAAGAAAAATAAGCAGGAAAATGATTAAGGAATGAGAAAATATCAGAGAAACGCAGTCATAGGAATGAGAGACGCCGCTCCCGCGCGTATCGATTGACTGTAGCGCGCTTTTCATCTTAAAAAGCAAGGCTGCTGATGCGATTTTGGGCTCTAACAAGTCAAGAGGAGGAGTTTGGGAACCAAAATTTCACCATGTAGTAAACTTTAGGTGTACAACAGATTTATGTAAAAATTTTGAAAAAATTATGTGAACTGAGAGTTTTGCCGACCTCAGGTGGGAATTAGGTCGGCAAATGCCGACCTAATTTGGAAATTAGTTAAGTAAACTTTTCATTCACATAAGTTTTTCATAATATTTCATACTTAGTTACTTAGTCCTACTGCGCATACACACACCGAATCACGCGCGATTTCGTTACCTCTGCGTTGCAAACGAGCCATTTTTCCATTTCTTTGGTAGCGCAAAATTTTCAGAAAAAAGTTTGCCACAACCTTCAGTCACATAATTTTTCAATGAAACTCCTCAGTTAAGCCCTGCAAGTCCGTGTGCATGTACTTACCAAGTTTCATGCCATATCGTTCATCTGCGCGTTCCAAACGAGCCGTTTGAGTTCACATCTTCATTTACCAGTTTTGCGAAATTCTCGGAAAAAATGCTAATTACTCGTTCCGTTCACATAAGTTTTTCATAAATTTTCATACTATGTTTTTACTAGCCTCTCTCCGTTCGCATACAAAATTTGGTGCCATATCGTTACACATACATTGAGAACTAGTCATGCATGCTGTTACAAATAGCATCGCTTGGGCGACGTCGCGCGTGCGGCAATTAGCGACGGCGCGGTTTGACGCGCGCGAACTCCAGTGTTCGCCTGTTGAGGCACATAACATGTCAAGATAAGTAGCGAGCATGAACTACCAATTTTTTTCCGGGGCTCCGCCCCGGACCCCGCAAAAACGATTTCCCCTTTGCTTTTTGGCCCCAAAACGATTTCCAGCTTGTCATTTGCCGACCTCGTGCCGGGCCCTGGTTGGAACCCGCGCAGTAACATCTTGGTTTAAGGTTACGGTAAGTGTACAGTACGCAATGTATAAAGTTCGGTGCGCATTGATGTAAATTCCCCCTCCATCAAATCAGGATGTTTTATGGAGGATGAGGGGGGGGGGGCTATGTTCGAATAATTATATACTGTGGATTTACAATATCAGAACCGACAGTATTCTGCTATGAATCTCTAAACAAAATTTCAAGATCCGCGACTTTGAGCCTACCGTATACCAACATTTCCTCGTTAGTATGTATGTAGCACTTCTCTACTGCAGACCTACCGTAACCTTACAGGCATTGTTTTGTAAAAGAAAAGAATCACTATCTACTTTTTCATTGTTAGCAGGCATATGTATATGAGCAAGATAAGCAAAATTTGGAAGTTCTGCTTTGAGTGCGTAATTCAAGAAAAACCCAAAATTCAATTTGTTTCAAATTCTTGTTGTTAGTTGCTCAAAATGTGCGAGAAATTGATCTTCTCAAGTTCAAAGTAACTGGTTTTCTGAGAATAACCTATAGAAATTACAGTTCGTTTCTCCATCTCTTCTCTCCCTCCACTCTCTCCGTATACGCTAGAATTGTCACCGCCAACATTTTCTCTTTATCGGCTACTACAAACCCGAAGCAATTATGGCAATTACGGCTATAGAGCCGGCATATTCGTATTTTTGTAGTCGACTGTACGACTGCTGGAATGGGTAACTTCGTACGGGTGCCGGCTCGTCATTTTGCTGAATAAAAAGGGAGCGAAGACAGTCTCGGTATCATAAAGTCCTTCAAATTTAGCAATTAATGAGAGTTATCAAGTCATAGTGATTCAGTTAGATATTAGATTGGAAATTCCAATGATTCGACGACTCTGTCCGGAACGAGAGAAATAATAATGCTCTATATTTGGATGTCAAGCTCAAAGGATGCTCTTGATCATTATCAGCATGAAATTATTAAGTGTCCCAAACTAAACCCCTTTTTGGAGAAAATAATCTGTTATCGCTTTCGTAGACTAAGGGAGCCATCCAAAAGACGAAAGCAGGCTATACAAGTAACCACAAGAGATTCATCTGAGTTTAGTAAAGGTAAGCTTCACTGCCAAAGAGCCAAGGAGGCAAAGATTAAAATCAACAACTCAAAAAAGGATTCCTGTCAAGAAAATCACTAACACCAATGATGAGAAGAAGGTGCTGCGATTTTTTTTTTGAACCCATCTAGCTAGCCAACAGAGAAGTGAACGAGTTAGCATAACCTATTTCAAAAGAATTGCTATATGCAGTGTAATTTTTGAAGAAATTCTCCAACTACAAGAATAAAACAAACGTGGCAGAAGCATTAAGCAAATGCATCATTACTTTCCTTAGCGAGCAAAAACATCAATTTGAAAAAATGCATAGTGTTTGAACTCGAAACTTTGAAAACTGCCCACCATATACTAAAAAAAACTTGCGGTACTATATTTCACGAAACTGTATGTGTATGAAATGTATGGGATGCGCCTATTGATAACTTAGCTACAGTTTCTTAGTTTCCCTTTGGGCAACTGCGAATCTGAAGATTGAAAGTTACAATCTCATCACCACTTTTCTGACAAAATCTAATTGATTGGCATTTAACAGTAATGGATTATCTGCGTGAGATTTCCACATATCCAGAAAATGGTGGAAGAGTTTTAAGAGAAAACGATGTGACGAAATATAAAAAAAATGGTAGAAGAGTTTTAAGAAAAAAGGATGTTACGAAATTTATCCAAAAAATGGAGTTGGGTCCATTCCAAATCCGGATGTTGAAATTTATCTTACATTAAAAAAATGAAGACAGATCAATGTTCAAATTCACCTTTAAAATGAAAATATGATCAAGTATATCGATCCAGATGACACGAGTCGAATTGTATTGGATTTAACCGAGTAAATTTCTATCAAAATCTAATAATTTTGTTCACTGAACTAACAATAAAATTCTAAGGAGCAAACTTATGTTCTTGAGTAAAATTGAAAAATTCTGTTACAAAAATCAAAATAACGTACGAGGTCCTCCATCACTTATCAGGAACGACCAAGCACAGACCAGAGGAAGACGTCTCCTCATTTGCTCTTATTTCTAATCCATACCCTAATGCGGGCAAAAAACATCCGATCGTTTGAATTCACAGCGCAAATAAATTTTGTTGCAGACGTGCAGAGAGATTTATACTATTTTTACAATTTTCCCTTTACAGACGCAAATCAGCTGGGTAGAGGAAGGGAGCGGAAGGGAATAGATGTCTCGGCACTTTTCTTATGGAATCTGATCGAAAGGGGATCCTCAAATTATCTTTCACAGGGGTCTAAATATCAA